GATATAACCGTCTTGTTTGCGTATACAAGAGAATTCTCCCTGCAACAGGAGGGGCCCGTGTTCAGCATTGGATCTTTACGGGCCGACAAAGAAAAAGAAGAATTATTAAACGTTCCTAATAACCGTATGTCTCTTATTGAATATGTACAATATTTTCTTACAAATTAAGATTTTGCAAGCGCAGTTTTCACAGAGAACTTAACCTTAAAAATCAACTCTTACAGATAGACATAAGTAAGAATAACTTGACACAGCTATCTCAGAATCTTCTCGACTGGTCTTCTCTGACCGAGGGTGCAAATCTGCAGTACAATCCATGGCATTGCTCCTGTCAGCTACAGTGGGTGTTGGATGAAGTTTTGCCAGTTCTCTACAAGACCAATTCGCGACTATTGACTGAGCTCCGGTAAGTATCAAATGATAAAATAGTTCTTAATAAAGAAGGGAAGAGATAATGCCTTATTTTTAATAACTTAACACTAGCATTGTATTTTTTTTTATTTTAGTTTAAATGTTTTCTTGTTTTTGTCAATTATTTACGTTTGATACATAGTCACTACGTTGTCCTGCATTTGTCAAGCTTTCCCCCCGGTTTTGCTTTTCTACCAACTTCAAAAAGGAAGAGGTACTCAAAACGACTGTATGTTTTTTTATGCGTGTTACCTCATAACTTTTTTCTGGGTGAACCGATTTCGATGATTCTTTTTTTATCTGAAAGCTGGTGTTTCTCGTGTGGTCCCATATAAATTTGATCAAGGTCTGACTAATAGTTTTTGAGCTATTCTCAATAATTCATATTGGTTGTAGAAAATTTTTAATTTTAAATTATCACTTATCAACTTCGCACTGTATAATTGAAGTTGTAAAGAGGGCAACACTGTAGTTGAGAAAGAGGGTCCACCTACCATCAGGTGAACTGTAAGCTCGTTGGTCAAAAAATGGGGAATTAGTTTTGTTCAGGTGTTGTTTTTTTTTTAATTTAGAGAACCTGGAAAACCCATCTCAAAAAAAAAATTGTCTAACGAGTTTCTCAGAAGTTAGTGATATTCTAGTTTCTTCGTTTCTTTTTCTTATATTCTCTCAGAAAAAATCTATTTGTATAATATTAGAATAAATTATTATTTCTTTTTATAATAGATGCGGATCACCACGGGCTTACGAAGGGCTACGTTTGGTGCATTGGTACAACTGGACCGAGCAGGCCATGTGTAGTGAAATGATGAGGAGATCCGGCCCAGGAGGCACTTACGTGGTATGGTGGTTTATTATTAAATTAATTTTATTGTTTTGTTTTAAAATTGGTTCTTAAATGTTATCTTTCCTTACCTACTTGCTTTTTTCGATCTGTACACAATGTACAATGTGTTACAATACCACAAGTATTGTTTTATCTATGATTTAAATGCAAAATTAAACCTAGTCAAGTTTTACAGCCTATTACGTCCCACTGCTAGGCACATGCTTCTTCTTATTTCTGAGATGGTAGCTAAGCGAGCTAACTTACTTTGCTTTGAGTTTGGCAGGCGGGTTGACATCCGCGATATTTTAACTATTTTGATATGTCATTAGGAAAGTGCTGCTACCCATCTCCTATTTCCTTTTCCTCTGTCGTCTCTTACGACACCCTCGGGAAGATATGGGGCAGTGAATTATATTGAGAACTATTTTACAAATATTTTTCCACTTTTTCAGTTAGAACCTTCAACAGACAGTGATTCAACCTCCAGGGTCAGCTCTCTCACTCTAATACTGAGCGTCTGCATAATTATTGCCCTCCTCATTGCCATAGCCCTGTCAGTTTACCTCATAAAAAACAGAAGACGGCATAGGGTTCGACAAGCGGCCCTAAAACGAAAGAGACAAAGTGCTTCTGACGTTAAGAATACGAATGGAACGCATGGAGACCAGTTCGCAGCTTTAAATAAAACTTAAGAACGAAACTGTTATAAAAATTAGTATAACACTTGTGTTAGCCATCAGGGCTGCTTAGTTAAAAGTTAGTCATTCGAAATATTCAAATCATAAGACATGAACAATTGCACAAGTTAAACAATTTACTGCAATAACTTTATACTATGGTAATAGATATTAGTTAAATCAGATAGTAGTTAAACCAAAAATTATTTTATTAATAAAAAATATTTATAACTCTATTTTTAGTAATTTATAGTACAAATTTGTTAACTGGTGCTTAGAAATGTCAACAATGATGAAGCTCAAAATAATACTAATATAAAAGACGCAAATATTTTATTTTTCACGTTATGAAAAGGCAAACTACTCAATTTTATGTTGACTAAATTTTTATAATTTGCTCAGCATAAAATGAGTTTTCGTTTATAATCTAAGATGACATAAATAAAATTGATGTTAAGGTTGTGTAAAAAAAAACAATAATTGTAAGGAAAGTAAAAATTTAGTATAGCTATGTAATTTTTGCAAATAGATTTTTCAATCAACCATAATATGTGTTTTGTACGTGCACGAAAGTTAGAGATCTGATAAAACTCAAAGTTTGAGATTATCTATCTTCTTTACCAACTCTTGACTTTTCACCCTTTGTTTTGCGTGATTGTAATAATCAAGCCTTTGTATTATATTTTAATGTTACATACATCATTACAGCTCTTGAAAAGTTAAGGACAATCTAGAGCTTATTAAAATATAACCAATAACTAATGATAACGGTAGCAACAGTGTTGCCACCTTAATACACTGGACTATATCCAAACACCCAATCCCACACCTTTGTTTCGTCAATTTACTGATTGTAATGTTAAGAAGAGCAAATCATTCACCTCCTCGAATAGGTTTGACCACTGTATTATTATAACAATAAAATCATAGCACATATGGAAATTTAGCAGGTGTGTAGAAGGAGGTTCAAGTAACTTCTTTACCCCCAAACAGCGAAATCCTTCCAATTTTTCTGATTATCGTCCTATCTTGATTCCCCCATTCCTATCCAAAGTCCTAAAACGCCTTGTACAGCATCAAATTAGTCTCTTCATTAACACAAACAACCTTAACACTCGGTTAAGGTTGTTTGTGTTGTATATTTATTACTAACTGTTGCCCGCGACTTCGCCCGCGCGTTATTTATTACCGCGCAAAAAATTAAAACCCATGAAATCCAATATTTCATGGGTTTTAATTATTTGCGCGGAACGTTAATTCTTTTTATAAAATAAAAGTAGCCTAAGTTACTTCCCATAACATCAACTATCTGCCAGTGAAAGTCCGGTCAAAATCGGTCCAGCCGTTTCGGAGATTAGCCGGAACAAACAGACAGACAGACAGACAAAAATTTTAAAAATCGTGTTTTTGTTATAAGTACCGTATATACTGTCATGTGCATATAGTAAAAAGCTGTTATTTCGACAATACAAACAGACACTTCAATTTTATTTATTTGTATAGATTATTATTTAAGTATACAGCCATATACACACCTTCTCTAATTTCTTCCTCTCTCTCCTGAGGGTTATTGAGCAAATAGTCCGCTGCGATGCTCCGGTGCGTGTTGGCGGACTTCACATTTCCTCAAAGTAATAAGTAATTATTTCTTCAGACATGCGGGTTTCCTCACGATGTTTTCATTCACCGCCGACTATGTGGTGAATCAGCACTTAAAATTGTTTTTAAAAATTGCATTGACGCGGGCGAAGATCGAACTCAAGTTTTTTTTTCATAGAATAAGGGTGACAAACGAGCACGCAGTCCACCTGATGATAAGTGGTTGCTGTGGCCCATAGACATCTACATCTATCTTCGTTTGCGAATTAAAATGCAGATACGTTGTCAGCCGTGAGGACTAAGGTAGAACTCCTCTTTTACAGTAAAAACGGTCTCCGGATCTCTACACTCACCATACGAAACACAGCAGTGTTAAGCTGCTATTTACGTTGGTGTTCTGAGAGAGCGTGGTCCTTCCCCGGTCGAGCCGACCCATTCGTGCTACAACTATACTATTGTTACGAGCTTGGAGTTCGAAAAAATTAAAAACTGCCGATTGAATTACCAAAATTGACACTTTAATTACACAACACTAATTATCTAAAACCACACTAATAATAAAACACAATCACTTTAGTTCGCAGTTATTTCGCTTCGAAGTATTCTCTTGTATCGCCAATTCAATACTGACTTGGTCGTGGTCTATACCGGCCTTATATAGGGCCTCAGATAGTTTCCAGAACCTTCTACTGTAGCGACATCTAGAATGTTCGAGTACATATGGGTCCCGAAATTTCTGGAAGGTTCTTGACTCTCCTAGTTCTGCTACTCGACACTAGAGGGCGCTAGTGTAACTAGTGTTGCCATGTACAAGACATTAATAGTGGCGCGCAACACTATTAATATAGCTGCAGCATGGCTCTACCACGTAAAGTTGTTCGCGTACTATGAAATTATACCCATAAATGCTAGCTATAATTAATTATTATTATAATAACGGCAAAATTTATAGTTGCAAGTCCACTGCTGAACATAAGCCTCCCCAAACGAATGCCACAAAGCACGGTCCTGAGCCACCTGCATTCATCGTCACCTATAAATGTAATTATTCTGTAATAGTTCATAGTTGATTTATATGTAAACTAGCTGTTCCCCGCGACTTCGCTCGCGTGTTAGGGTTTTTATGTAAACAGAGAGACAGACAAAAAATTTAAAAACTATATTTGAGTTATAAGTACCGTATTTACTTTCATATGCATCTAGTAAAAAACTGTAATTTTGATATTACAAACAGATACTTCAATTTTATTTATTTGTATAGATAAAATTAACTCAATGTTAATTATATACAAAGATATTATGTTGTAAAATATAGAAATATGATACATACCATTACATTTTTAATAGAGTAAAACTGTTTTCACGTAAAAGTGATAGTTGTAAATAAAACACTGTTTTGTTTGTATGTCTAATATTATCACATTTTATGGTTTGAAGAAATATATTGTTGATTTCAAATTAAATAATAGTTTATGGTTTTTTTTTTATTTCCTCAGCGGATTGATGACTTTACGTAGCGTTTGCGGTCCATTCCACTTGCCTTTTATTAATCTTTTCCAGTAAAGATGTGGAAAGTAGTTTTTGGTCAAAAAACCGACTAGCTTATGTTCTTTACTCTGAAATATAAGATTTTATATTATCGTATAATTACTAAGAAAAATCAAAAGAGGTTTAGATAATTTTATGAAATTGCGATTAAAGTATATTTTTTAAAATTTTTAATTTTAATTAGTATATATATTTTTAAATTTATATTCTCTTAGCATATAAATTTTAAAAAATATATACTAATAAATAATTAAACAACAGATAGGAACTATATATATATATATTATTAAATATAGAGAACCTCGGACACTTCTACTGGTAAGAAGGTATTTCATCTTAGTACTTAAGTGTGATATCGCATTCTGCATTTAGATTTTTATTTGAAGATTGATAATATAGGTTTCTATGAGCTACTAGCTAATAGTGAGATAAGGAAACATTGTGGTCTGAAAGAAGATGTAGTGACAAAAATTGAGAAAGGTATGCTGAGATGGTTTGGCCATGTCGAGAGAACGAATGAAGAACGATTGACGAAAAAGTGTATAAGGCGAGTGTGAATGAAAGTGTTGGAAGGGGTAGACCTAGGCGGACATTTCTAGACCAAATCAGAGACGTCTTGAAAAAAGGCCAGGTCAAGAGTACCCTAAACCGTAGAGCATGTATGAAGGGAATAATGAAAGTGGACGAAGCGAAACAAGTATGTAAGGATCGTAGCAAGTGGAAAGAAGTGGTCTCTGCCTAACCCTACGGGAAAGAGGCGTAATTATATGTATGTATGTATGTATGTATGAGCTACATCATTTATTTCCGCCAGATATACTGTGTGCTCGGTTCTCACCTTAACTTTCATAAAAAATAACATTAGGAATACGGGTAGTACCAATGTCTATATGGTTAGACGACATAATATATACTTCTGCGTCAGAATACCAAGATCCTTATTTACTAGACGATTATTTACAGCTGTGCACATTAACAAAAAGACATGTACTGAAAACAATAACTAGCGTAGAAGAGAAAAGTGTTAATAACAATTGTAGGTCTATATCATACGAAATTAACGTTAGATACTTCTCAAGTATTTGAAGCTCCAACAAATACAAAATCTGTTGATGTTTGTACGTCAAAAATTGTAACAGAGGGCGCAGAAAATTGAGTGACTTTACCGCCGGCTAAAAGATTGTAGAATCTGCGCTTGCATGAGCTTCGTTTAGCCAACTGAGTAGCAACAAATTGTTTGAATCTCTTCTTCAGAAAATTAAGTACGTAACAAACTTTATTATAGTTTTAAAGGTTCAATCGATATTTTCAATAGATTTTTATTACAAAACCATACAAACCTGATCGAAAGGGAAGGTTTCACGAGGTTTTTTATCATAAACCGATTCTGCGAGTATACCAGATTTGAAAGACGTCAACACTGTGCAGGCGCCATACCCGTCGTACTTGACAAGTGGTTTTTTCCCTTCCATAGTTCTTAAAAGGTTTCGTTCAACGACGTAACTCTGCCGAGCTACGGATTTATAGAGGGTGATGAAAAAATTAAGAAAGCGAGTTATAATTTAGCTTTAATGATATCACTTAAGTTCAAATATATAAATAATGATATACCTTTGTTGTAGTTTTTGAAAATATAAATAAATCAGGCTTCTACTTTTATTTGAAATTATATCAAATTGAATGTGATTTATGGATCGACTCTAACGAATGTGTGCGTGCGCAGTAAAATCAGTTAAAATAATGCATTACCACGTATTTTGAATTTAAAAGATAAAAACAACAAAATGTTTTACTTTTTTTATTAATTAATTTTTCTTTTTTTGAAAATATGAATAAATCAGGCTACTACTTTTATTTGAAATTATACCAAATTGAATGTGATTTATGGATCGACTCTAACGAATGTGTACGTGCGTAGTAAAATCAGTTAAAATAATGCATTACCACGTATTTTGAATTTAAAAGATAAAAAGAACAAAATGTTTTACTTTTTTTTAAAATTAATTTTTCTGTTTTTGAAAATATGCATAAATCAGGCTTCTACTTTTATTTGAAATTATACCAAATTGAATGTGATTTATGGATCGACTCTAACGAATGTGTGCGTGCGTAGTAAAATCAGTTAAAATAATGCATTACCACGTATTTTGAATTCAAAAGATAAAAAGAACAAAATGTTTTACTTTTTTTTTAATTAATTTTTCTTCACCGTTTGTCGATTAGGTGACGATTTAGGTAAATTTGTCCTACAACTGGAAAGGCCCATGTCAGTGGATTTTCATGGGCCGACAAATTAGAAATGATATCTCTCATTTCTATTCTATTTTGTTCCAGTTTTGGATGGAAAAATCATAACGGATCTAAATGTCAGATTTCGATAGTAAGTGTTGACCGTACCTACAGCAGCGGCTGTTTTACTATTCGGCGTGCTGGTACAGTCCCCAATGCCATATATGTTTGAGAACCTCCTGTGCTGCAAGGTGTACTTATCCACGTCCAAAAAGCCAGTGTCTGTGACTAGTTCTGTGCATTTTGTGAGGCAGACCGGCGGCGACATAGGCGGTGTCACGTGAAGAAAGTTGTATGGAAACGTTATAGTCTGAAATTTAGGAGGTTGTTTTTTTTTAACTTTTAACAAACCTTTCTTTTGTTAAAACGTTTATTGATAAAAATAATTCACCTTTCCATCTTCGCTGGCGAAACTTGCGCCATTTGGGGTCAGTTCTGTCAGGTTGAGACAGCAGTTAACAGCAATGCCTCTGTTAGAAACAATTTTGTTTAAAGCTGTTGAATATTTCTGTACACCAAACAGAGAATTTCCACCGGTATTGAACGTGATGTTGGTACAATCTCTTGTTTTTTGCTGTAATATAAGAAGTCAAATACTTTTTATAACATTTGATTAAAATACGAGCTTGCTGTCCATCTCATGGTAAATGGTTCAAGCCAGAGGGGCAGACAGACTTGGATTGCGGGAGTCAGCTCCAAACAAAGGAAGCTGTAATGCTTTATTAGTTTTCTTTTTAAATTATCAATGTTGTATACGTGTACAATATGTAAAAAAACGGTTTTTTTCTTAATAGTTCTCCGAAATCCGAGAGGGTGTTTTTAGGTGTCATGATATAATTCTGTTCATGTAAGTAAACTTTTTCAGAGAATAATTAAAATACCACCCCGCAAGACAAATGAAAGCATCTTACATGGCAATACACGGGCGATCGTCGGGCAATACACGTTCAAAAATAGTTATAGAGGTTTAAATATCTGATGAGATGGTAGTGGAAGCTTTTGAAAATTTTCTAAATTTTAAGCAATGTCGTTTGGTAGGTATATACTGCGATCTAGTAAATCTAGTGGAGTCTAATGGAGTCTATTAAAATTTTAGGCGGGTGGTGGCGACCGTAGTACCAGACGTATCGAACCACTATCGCTTGCGGATGGCCACTCTGATTATTTTTTGTGGCGTAAACTAGATTTACAACGTGTAATAAAAACGCTGTGGTTCCCTTTAAGTGTGTTATCGGAGTTAGTATACTAACGTAAAGAAATAACTTTTTTTCCTCAAAATACTTGAACATTAAAAATATTTTATTTTAGTAAAAAAAATAATTTGCAAATTGTATGTGGTTTTATTACCTCTAACTAACACGAGCATCGGTAAGGGGGGGGGGGGGGGTGTCTTTCACAATACTTTTATTCCCATTACTTTTATAATGCAGAGGTAATAAAACCACATACAATTCGCAAATTATTTTTTTTAATTAAATTATTTTTTTAATGTTATACTTATACTTATCTTCCACGCACAATCCCTGACGGGGTAGCCAGAGAGAACAGATCGCCAAGTGTCACGATCCTTACATACCTCTTTCGCTTCTTTCAGATTCATTATCTTCTTCATACATGCACGTCTAGGTATCCGAGTACTCTTGACCCTCCCCTCTTCGAGCAATTTGCTCACATGGTCTTCGAAAGTTAGTCTCGATCTACCTCGACATCTTTTAATATTTACTTTCGCGCTATATATTTTCTTCACCATTCGGTCTTCACTCATTCGCTCAAAGTGCCCAAACCTTCGAAGCACGCCCTTATCAATTTTTGTGATAAGGTCATCTTTCAAACCTGCCATATTCCGAATCTCTTCGTTTCGCTTTCGGTCGGCAATGGTAACGCCGCACATTTTACGAAGAGATCGCATCTCCACTGCATTCAACTTGCTTTTATGCTTCTTCTGGCATTCCCAGGTTTCGCTGCCATATAACAAAGTCGGTCGGTACCAACACTGCGTTATGTATTGCATTTAATGTTTTGGTTTTTTGAAAAAAAGTTATTTCTTTACGTTTGAATACTATCTCTGATAACGCACTTAACGGGAACCACAGGGTATTTGTTACATGTTGTATATGGCGCCATCTATCCGAAGCCATATGTTTGTGCTCTAATATCTTTTATCTATTAGGGGTAATTATAAAATCTCTTACACGGCCTTACCCACCATTAATTTACCACTCCATAGTACTGATTGCGGCCACATGGCCGTGAGTTCTGATATCACAGAAAATGGAAAATCTTCTCGTGTCACAGCTTAATAGAATATCGACTATCATATTACTATATGCTGTCCAGACATTCATTTGCTAAAAAGGCCAAGAGGAATTACAGTGAATTTAGTTAGAACAAAATTCTGCAGTAATATCCTCCTACCTTTCTCCAATAATCATCAGCGAGGAGCATGATCTTCAGTGCTGCACCAGAACACTTGCCTGCTTGACGTGGAAAGGTGAATACAGCATGTCCACCTTTGAACCTCTGCAAGCAGCACCACGTCTTCTCACAGTATAGTGGCGAGTAGCTTGTCGTTACACAACTGTGAGGGTTGTTAAGTTCTTTAAGAAGGCCTGGAATCTATCAAACTTACGTTATTATTGATTTGCAATTGTTCTATTAATATTTAAAAAATATTCTATTACGTATACAGTTACAGTCTATGATGCTTCATGGTATTCAAAATCATCCTTATCTACGTGGTAGAGTCATGTTGCAGCTATATTAATAGTATAGTAGTAGCACGAATGGGTCGGCTCGACCGGGTAAGGACCACGCTCTTACGGAATACCAGCGTGGAATAGAAGCTTAATGCTGCTGTGTTTCGTATGGTGACCATAGAGAACCGGAGACAAGGCTGGCAACGAATATTCGGCTATTGTTCGGTAATAGGCCACTTTTATCCTATTCGGTTAAATACCGAATGTATAATAATAAAAATAATAAATAAATAAAATTTATTTCGTTTTTAAAAAGTACATGCCTTAAAAACTGTATAGGTACTATTCAGCCGAATAACGAATACTTAAGTAAGAAGTTTTATTGTAGTTAGATAATTAGTAAAGTGAAAATATTTATTTATTTAATAATAATGTATTTTCTTGTAATCATTAAAGTAAGTATATTAATGATTAGTATTTATACGTGGTAAAGCCATGCTGCAGCTATATTAGTAATATAGTTGTAGCACGAATGGGTCGGCTCGACTGGGGAAGGACCACGCTCTCACAGAATACCAGCGTAAAACAGCAGCTTAAAACGGTGTGTTTCGTATGGTGAGTGTAGAGAACCGGAGACTCTTTTTACTGAAAGAGAGGCATTCCATCTTAGTCCTCACGGGTGACAACGCATCTGCATTTTGATTCGTAAACGAGGATAGATGTAGATGTCTATGGGCCACAGCAACCATTTCGAATCCACCATTCAACTACTGTCGTGAACCACTTCTAACACAAGCATTTTATAGTTTATCAGAAGTGGGTAAAGGGAATATTAGTAATGTTTAATAGCATTACTAGTATTTTAAAAAAATCGTTGCAAGTCTACTGTAGACCCTTTTTAGCTGGAAACGAGGCAATCTATCTAAGTCCTTAAGGTTAAAATGACATCTGCATTTTGATTCTTTATCGAAGATAGATGTAGTAGTGTAATATTGTTGCCTGGGTGTATTGAAATGGACTATTAGACATGGCAGGTGTTTTTTTGTCTTCCTAGAGATGAGAAAACATCATTATAAAGTCGCTATGCCTAAAATATCAAGTAATTTATTAGACAGGTAAGCCGTCCTATAAAGGTCGTGCGATAAATATTTTCCGTCTTCTTCTCTTTCCAGTAATGGTCTAGAAACTATTGTAAAGACTGTGAAGATTAGAATCTATAATCTAAGCAAATACAAGTCGCGGCACGTAAGTCTAGCGCTGAATGAAACGTGGAGAGGAAGCGCACGAATTAAATTGCATGAATGCGACTGGAGAGCCAATCGGCGCGTGCGAACGATACGCACGAGCCAGTCAGCGCAACTTATGCACAATAACGGTCACCGCTAGACTTTCGTGCCGCTACTTATATTATAAGAATTATTAACGTGATTTCTTATTCTTTACAATGCTTATGGTTTTAATGGGCATAAGTATTAGGTACCTACCTACCTTGTTATAGTCATTTTTTAAACCAACGGCCATAACCATAAAATCATAATAAATTTTTTCTCCGCTTTGCGTATACACTACATTATTGCATGGATCAAAATCATAAGCGTGATCTTTAAGCCACACAACGCCTTGCGGCAGTACATCCCGAATCCGTTTCTTACTCTGTGGGAACTGTTTCATACCTGCTGCCACTAGCGAAAACAAAGGCTGGTAGTAATGAACCTAAAAAATGATAACACATATTACAACATTTACTAATATTTTATTTCTATGTTATGAAAATATTACAATAAATAAACAGTTTAACACTTCTTAAAAAGTATTAAGGATTTATAAATAACAGCAACATACTAATGATGGCTCCAGTAGAACTATTTCTTTGGCTTTTAATTTTTTGGACAATCGCCAAGCAACGCTACAGCCGCCTGCGCCTCCTCCTACTACCAGCACTTTACATCTAAAAACAAACCATTAAAACAAACTTCTGGAAAATAACGTAAACTAAAAATTACTTATTTACTTCACTGAGGTGTACTATACAGTGACAAACTGTAGGTACGCAACGTGTACGCAAAGTACGTATACCCTGTAACTCATAAGTATGAAGTAAAATTTTGTCTACGAATTAACAACACAACACAAAATTATGTTGTATAAAATTTGATTAGTCCCCTGCTTCAGCATCTTAAGGCTCTTACAGCTTTTAGATTTTTTTCTGAACATGTTATGACTGTGAAAACTGTCGCTTTATAAAAATTTATAATATATTGGAAACTAAATGTCGTTAAGTATGTACTTCTAGTTCTATTTTTCTTTTATTTCCACTCTTATGTTTGTTATATTCTTATTTTTATTAAATTTCACTCATCAACAGTGTTTTATATTTCTTGTCGCTTTCGGCATAAATTTTTTAGTATTTTATTTATAAATAAATATTAAATGAAAGCTTTTAACCGGTTAATAATACTTATATATAACTAATAACAAGAACCACTAACCACACCTCTTAAGTTCTAAAATGCTCTTATTGCCTGTCGTGAACCACTCCTAGAGTGATTCAGAATAGTAGTCGTTGAATGGCGTATTTGAATTTACGACTTTGAAGTTTTTTTCGGCCCATTTTAACCATCAGGCTACTATTACTGTACAAAGATATGTGTGGAGCAGAACATTGAGTTCCATGTCCATCGGACATCGGCTCGGACGTTTAGTGGCAGGAAAAATTAAGCTTCATATCACAGTTTAAGTTTATGGCCGCCGTAGTTTCTAGCACGTTAGTGGTTCACTGTGTCTAGCACTTTAATTTAGCCACTACAGGATCGGTATTGTTTGTTTAGATAATTTGAATAAAATACTTAAATTAAATTCTTAAACTGGAAATCGCAACAAAAAAACACGAAATAATGTCGCTTACTTATTGCTCTCATTGCATGATGTTAGTCCTGAATAGTGCTTTGCTCTAATTAATGAAATGCTTCTAAATTGTTTGCAAAGTATGGCCATTTATGTTTTAATTATTTTTTTATAATTTTATACTATTTTTACATTTTACTGAAATTTTGACATTAAACCACCGAGATTTGTGATATAAAGTTACCTAATAGCAAAAAAAAACGGTTGAAAACATATTTATTGTATAAAGGCTTATATTTTGCTTTATATTAATATACAGGTGTCACGTCATTTTGCTTGATGTTATAACAATAAACGTCGAGCAAACGTACTTACATGGTCTGAGCGTGCATGAAATCATGCTAAAATTATTGTAAGAACGCGCACTTACGCACACATTTGCATCTAAAACCATTTACACCCACAATATCCTAGTATAACGTGCATATACGAGTATATAGTTATGTTTACACGTGGTAGAGCCATAGTGCAGCAATGCATAGTTGTAGCAAGAATGGATCGGCTCAACCGGGGAAGAACCACGCTCTCACAGAATACCCAGCGTGAAATAGGAACTTTATGCTGCTGTGTTTCGTAAGGTGAGTGTAAACCGGAGATCCTACTTACTAGAAAAGAAGCATTCCATCATAGTCCTCAGAGATGACAACGCATCTGCATATTGTTGCGCGCCACAATTAATACATGGTGACACTAGTTACCACTAGCGCCCTCTAGTATCGAGTAGTAGAACTAGGAAAGTCAAGAACATACTAGAAATTTCCATGGAAGAATTTTCTAGAACTTTCTACATCTATTCAATCGGGACCGGTATGTACTCGAACATTCTAGATGTTTCTATGGACCGATATAGACCGCGACCGGGGCAGTATTGAATTGGCGATACAAGAGAATACTTCGAAGCGATACAAATGCGAACTAAAGTGATCAGTAGTACAGTTGTGTTTTATTATTAGTGTGGTTTTAAGTTGTAATTAGTGTTCTGTAATTAAAGAGTCAATTTTGGTAATTCAATCGGCAGTTTTTAATTGTCTCGAACCCCAAGCTCCTATTGTAACCTTCTATTGTAGAAACATCTAGAATTTTCGAGTACATATCGGTCACGAAATTTCTAGAAGGATCTTGACTCTCCTAGTTCTGCTACTCGATACTAGAGGGCGCTAGTGGTAAGTAGTGCTGACATGTACAAGACATTAGTAGTGGCGCGCAACAATATATATTAAATATTTATCTACGTCCAGCAGCGGACCTTTTCACCTTAGAGCAAACATTGACACCATTAAGAAATTCAATAAGTCATTAAATAAGTTACCACAACGCGAATCGAATGAACATGATCAAATATATCGGCGGTACATGGAAATACTTTTGTAAGTTTGTTTGTACCGTCGGATGTTATTAAATGACCATATTTTGTAAAAATAAAGAAATGAGTGATGCCGAAATCATGCAAACTTCTTGCCGCACTAACACACTTATCGTTCTTCTTTCCTTATCACTGCTGCTCGCACACTTATACACCTCAAACCATTTTGTTTGTTGCAAAATGCAAATTATTTAAGATGCTAAACGTGGTATATAATGGTTGTAGCACGAATGGGTCGGCTCGATCGGGGTAGGACCGCGTTCTCACAGAATACCAGCGTAAAATAGCAGCTTAATGCTGCTGTGTTTCGTATCGAGACATTTTTACTAAAAACGAGACATTCCATCTTAGTCCTCAGTGGGGACAGCTCATCTGAATTTTGATTCTTAATTGAGGATAAATGTAGATGTCTATGGGCCATAACATCCACTTACCATCAGGTGAACTGTGTGCTCATTTGTCACCCTTCTATAAATATATTAAAAAATATACATGTCTACATGAGTGAGTCTTCTTACAATAAGTTGAACAAAAATTTGGCTTGGTTTAGGCATCACTTGAAATGTACTTTGTTGGTCTGAATTTTAATCATTTTAATTTGTTTCAAGTCCGGTTCAAAAAACTACTCCCTTCTAAACACGAAAGTGCCAATTTAGATAGATTCAATTTTAGCTAATTCAACGTGGATTTTTTCTACAACAAAGGCAATCGCAGCGTTTTTACGCTCTGTAGATCACTTCCACTCCTCGCAGTCGCACCAGCTTTTATTTACTTTTCAAACATTTAATTCATCACCAAGTTACCAAGCTTTAATCCGAACAAATTAGTAACAACAACAGAGAATTATGAAAGGAACGAGATAAATGACACACAGTTGCAATAACATGAGTATATTTCATTAAGGGTCCCAAATTACGATCACTTATATAAAAACAACAAATAAAAATAAGGTACATATCACTTTCAATTTTTTCAAAATATAAATAAAATGTCAATAGATTATATTAAATTGATTAAAAATTGTTTATATCTTATTAGTATGCTTAAAATAAAATAAATGTAAAGCTAAGCTAGTAAAATTTAAGTTCCGTCAATAACTTTGCAAATATAGTGCGTAACATAATGATAAATTATAAATCTTCCGATCTCAGAACAACAAATAAAGAAAGACAGGCGGATCGCTGTGTACATTTTAAAAATTTCTTAAAGCACACATCTCTCTTTTATATAATATATTTAACAGTGCGTAATAATCCACTTCTGGACGCACACATATGCACCTATGTTGTTGGTGGCAAATAATTTTAGATGCATAAGTGTGCGCGAGTGAGTTTTTACAATAAGTTAATGGTGATTGCTCGGTTTAGACCACTTGAAGTGTATGCAGCACTCAGTCTATCTTTCTTTTTTGATCTGAACTTCAATTTTACTGTAAAAATAGTTTTTAAATTTCTTTACATGAATAATTTACCTTTTTCGCAGTCTAATTTCCGAATGACATATAAATATTATAATTATAAACCTAGGAAACAAAATATCGCTTTTTATTATTTATTCATATTCTACAAAATGCATGTACATTAGAGTATGTACACTCAGTCAATAATCGCATTATTATTATGACTAACTTTTATACATTCATTAATGTTGCCATGGCAAAAATAAAGTCATCACTCAAAATGAATCTCTAGCCTAGATTTCTTTGTTTGATTAAAATTTTTCAATTCAAATATTACGTTAAACTTTATTAAAAAGTATAAAAATACATATAATTCTTTTATTATCTTTATATATCAACATATCCACTAAATAATGATTATTATAAAGAAAATTCAGAACACATTTCACACGTACTACCCGCGCAGATAGACAAGATCAGGGTTATAAATGGCGTTATCTCCATCCACCTGTCGTTCTCACACTTCTATACTCAAACCTACCAGTAGCGACCACAAGAAAATCATTCACTGCTGCTATAAACTACACTTTTAATTTAAGTATTTTTTATTTACCAATCTCAATGATAAATTACAAAAACTAAATATTATTAATAAACAGATTTACCTCCCTATAAGAATATCTAGGAGATAATTTAATTAAATTAATTTCAAGATACTAATTTTTCACAGATATTTCCGATAACTAAACATTTTCAAAAAAAAAAACTAACACAACGTTTTGATTAATATGTAACATAACATATAGTTATTTCTAGCATAACGTGATTAGCGCTGTTTTCGCTACAGGTACTGTTTATGCCGACGGTACATGCCTGATCGAGCCGCCATTTTTAGTCCCGTTAAGCCCTTCTCCCATTACGATACGCACAGGCGATTCAAGTATCCTGCAAGTCTTGGCGACTAGTCGCCGCCAAGTATCTCACATACATTTGAATGCAGGCTCGCACACTACGCTACTGGTATCCTACGCGTCCGCGACTAGTATCGCGCGACTCGCTGTGTTGGTCGCTTGTGCGTCGCGTCTCCTGTGCGTCTCGACAAGATGGCGGCGGAGCAAGAAATAAATATTAAGTTTGTACAAGAAGTTGAAAAACATGCTTGTTTATATAACTACAAATTACCAGAATACATGCGGAAAAATACAATAGATAGGACTTGGGCAGAAATTGGGAATAAATTTCAAATAACAGGTTTGTTTTGTTTATACATAATAAGTAGTTTATTAATCAATGTTACATTGTATTTTGTAAACAGTATTGGTATTGCCAAGGCAATGAACCTTGCTCAGATATAAAGTAGTTTGCTAAATAATTTCGTTGGTTGTGTGGTGACATAGTTGCAGTTATTTCTATATTTTGAGGTTGTATAGTCATAGTAACGGGAATAGTGACCGATCTGTTTTGTATTACCTCCCTTGGACTATATAGAATACCCTCATGTTGTCGAACAAAGTTGTGTAAAATACACACTGCTTTTATTATATTTGATACTTTTTCTATTGTATGACATCTTATAGCTGTACTTAATACTTGAAATTTCTCAGTCATCATTCCAAAAGCACATTCAATTGTATTCCTCCCTCGGCTTATTCTGTAGTTAAACACCCTTCTCAAGTCATTTAAGGTTCTTTGGGGATATGGTCTCATGAAGTAAGATAGAAGGGGAAATGCCTCATCCCCAATAAAATAGTATGGAAATTCATAGTTAGATGGGTCATTAGGAAGTTTGGAAGGTAAAGGAATATTAAGACGTCCATGTTCAATCCAACGTTTGATCCTGGAAGCACTGAAGATTCCACCGTCGCTGTTCCTACCAGCATAGCCAGTTTCGATAACAGTAAATAATCCATCGGCATTACAACATGCCATTAATACTATCGAATGGTAGGATTTGTAATTAAAATTACTTGATCCCGAATTAGGTAATTTTTCTATTCTGATGTGTTTACCATCACATGCCCCTAAGCAGTTGGGTAAATTCCAGAGGCGATCAAAACGAGCAGCAATGTCTTTCCAATGTTGCACATTTGGTAATGGCATATAGTCTCTATTTAATATCTCCCATATTATAACTGTAGTTTCAGCTATGACCTTGCAAATTGTATTATCTCCTCTTGAAAAATACAATCCTAGGCTTACAAATGAACAACCTGATCCCAAATATCTGTAATTAATAACAATTAATATTAAGGTTATTTTCAGGATCAGAAGCTAAAGAAAAGTGGAAAAATCTACGTAGTGTTTTTGTTCGCCATTTGAAACCGCCTAAAAGTGGAGCAGGGACTGCGCAAAAAAAACCATACTACTTAGCTGATTTTATGCAATTTACTATACCGTTCATAAAAACAGCAGGAAAACCATCAGGAAATTTGAACGAGACAATAGAAGATAATGACACATTGCAACCACAGTCTCCTGAACTATGCGAACAAACACAGTTCACAGAAAGTGTACCTAGAAGCACTCAATCGATCTCACAACAGCATTCATCTCTTCCTCCAACAAGCACTCAATCAATCTTGCGACACCAATTACCACCAGCAACAAGCAATAAAAGAAAATGGAAGAAGCTTGAAGAAACTCAAGCTGAGCAAGATATTGCAGCTTATTTTAAATTGAAACGATCTAAAATTATAGAAAACTGTGACAGTACTGAAAATTCAAACAAAATGTTTTTACTGAGTTTACTGTCGGACGTGAATAAATTGAATGATAATCAAAGAAGACTGTTTAAGAGGAGAGTGCTTGAATTGATAGACGATATTATGGACCAAAGTAGTCCCATCACACTTTTATCTACTCCTTCACCGACTGACAGGGCAATAAGTACGCCAAATACCATAAATGAAAGTGTACAATCAAATACTGCCACACTATATTATGAATCAATACCTATGTTTTTATCACAGGAAGATGAAGAATAAGTAATAATTTTTATAATTGATTGAAATAGCCTATGTTTTAATTTGATGATTGATTGATTCATACTAAAAATTTAATATACATTTTTAATTACATATGTAACAATGGAGTATTATTTACCTTAGGGTTATCAGAATCCTTTCTTCCGCACTAACACACTCTCTAAATATAGTATTTCGTTGATGTATAGCAGGCTTTATTAATGTAACAAGATGCAGGTAGGTCTCTTTAGACATTCGGTAGAAAGACAAAAATTTATTATCATCATGTTGTAGTTCTTGTGCGGCTACAAAAACTCTACAATTTATGTTTCTTTCAATATATGGATGAATCCAGTATTTTCTACTCTTGCGTTGACGTCTTCTGTTTCTATAAAACAGAAAAGCTGCAAGTGCTTCTTCGTCACTAGAATCGCTCGACATAACGTCCGTCCACAAAAACGAGTTTGCACAAATGATAAATTTAGTCATTTTTCAGTAGCATAATATGCGAGCGTCGGGTAGCGAACAAGTATCCAACTAGTATTCTACTCGAGTATCGTACCTTACAAGTATCGTAATGGGAGAAGGGCCTTAGTCCCGGATAGTAACGCACGCAGAACTTGAAAAAGATGACATACTTACAAAATTGTTAGGTTTCAATATACCTACTAAGCATTACATAAAAATATGCTGAACCAAATGTACACCTACAATACCTACAATTATTTAGTAGCAATAGAACACTAAATAGTTGTAGGTAAATTTTGTGACTAGGATAGAGTACGTATTTACAGGAAGAGTAAAAGATAAATACAACCGCATATTATACAATTGCATATTCTGCATGATGGTTACTGTGCGTTAGTGTGAACGTACACGTACGTAAATGTGCAAATCTCTTTGTAAATATTTAAATAATTTTTAATAACAGGTTTAAACCTGCTTCTACATAATTTATACAAACAATGTATATCAACACTATACAAGTGTATATCATTACTTTCCGAAAGGATTTATGATTTTTCTCACAAACTCCGGACCGTTGTAGTTGCCCTTTAACATGAAATTCCAATACAAAAACGGAAATAAGTCCCTCTTCATGTAGTACGCTAATCTGCTTTCCCGTGCCTGTCAATAAAGAATATTTCTGAATGAACAATCAGTGGCGTAGCTATGTAATCAAGAGCCCCGGGGCAAAAATAAAATTGGGGCCCTATTTAAACTAAACTAAATACTTTAAAAGTGCAAAACTATTTTATCATGAGCTCCTTGTCGCCCACTGCAGGGCATAATAGAGCAAAGCTACTGCTACGCTAAGCTACTGGCTGTGTGCTCGCTTGTCACCCTTATTCTAAAAAAAAGAATATTTTCCCAAAAGAGTTTCCAAAAATGTACAGTATCCTGCACCTAAACCAGGTTTAGCCTCTCCCATGGGTTAAGTAAACGATTTCAGAAGCGTTGTGGACAATAATATGCAATAATAACAATAAAGTGGAAGTAATCTATGTTAAGTAACTATAAATGGAGGAAAATGAATAGAATTGCACAAGAACATAGCACAAGAAGCAGAAAGGATGTTAAAATATTTTATAAACAATACCGAATATACCTGGTTTATGGGCAGGGTTTCCCTCGGTACACCGTCGTATAGGAACTCCGCGATAATGCAAGTATTGTAGGACGTGACAAGTGGACACGCCCCGTACCCGTTGTAATGTTCCTTCGGCTCATCCTTCTTCATTGTATTCAGGAGATTTTGCTCGAGGACATAGCCTTGTTTCGCTGAAACAAACACAATTATTTTAGCTGTGCGTAGGATTATCATATCATCAGGTGGACTGTGTGCTCGTTTGTCACCCTTATTCTATAAAAAAAAAAATGGCAGCGTCAAAATGTGTAATTTTTTAAAATACGGTTTACACGATGAATCTGGTGCCAAGCCGTGCATAGCTCGATAAAATTTCTTTTGGGCTGTAAAGACCTTAACAGCACCTGTACTGTTACCCAAAAGTAAAAGACCATAATCAAGTGCAGAATAAATGTATGCATAGTACGCCGTTATTAAAGTTTCATGAGATGTAATTCTTCTCAGTCTGCTAAGTAGAAAAATGTAACTGTTTATTTTAGAACAGACCTTTTCAACTAACAATAAAACTCAACAATATAATTACAAACTCTTTATCACTTATCTTTCACTTAAGATCTGGTCATTCTAAAACCTTAATTCGGGCTTTTGATCGTGAATTCGCTCCAGAAGCCCTGGGATTAGGTCGCATTCTGGTAAGAGCCCTGACAGGACACTGTTGTCTTAAAAATCATATGTCCATCCTGGGGCTAAGCAACTCAAGGATGTGCCGGTTCTATTCCTCAACGGAGGAAACGCCTTTGCATATCCCAACTGATTGCGGACCCTCAATGCGCAAATGTAACATTCATCTCGAAAGCTATGTCCTTAGCCCAAAAGAAGTGAAATTGCTCACAGGTAAGCAACTCCTATTCATTGTAGACGTAGGGCTTAGTAGTGAACTATAGCTATAGCAGCGATCAAAATAGATGTTTTAGGTCGCAGTGATACTGGCCTCTCCTTCTAGACCTGCATAGCTGCTCACACATGATAAAAGAAATATAGTAAAATTACACACATTCCATCTTGGTTCTACGCCCGGAATTGTTCGAATATTTTCGAGGTTTTAGTTTTTTGTCCAGATGATTTACAAAAATAAAGTATTGCTAATTAAACAAAGCGCCTATAACCAGCTAATCTGTGAAAAATATGTTACAGTATTGTTTTAGTTTTTTTAATAACAATATTATAGTTTATTCTTAGAAATAAACATAGGTAACATTACAGCTTTATATTAATATGCTACAATCAATTTGTGAGAGACTGGTGTCTGACTGGTACTAGGATTCCCTGTATGACAGATCACCAGCCCCCATTTACAGACCAATCCGTAATCTAAGTAATATTAGATGTTTGATAAACAGGAAATATACAAAAAGCAAAAATATTGTTACGATCTTGGGGTTCGAGACAATTAAAAACAGAGGCTAGTGGTAACTAGTGTTGCCATGTACAAGACATTAATAGTGGCGCGCAACACTGCCCCCTCCTAAGACATGCTCGTCCTTTATTCTTCCGTCTCTTTATTGGCCCCATAATAACGCGCCAGTCGATCCACTAGGACAATGTTAGGAGTACCTCTTCTTCTAACATCAGTCAGCACCCGCCAGTTTCCCTGCTGCTGCTGGGCGGTGCTGTTAGCCACACTACCATCTCGAGATCGATCACCTTCCCTTTCTACAGTTCGTTTAGGGCAACTGGATCGAAGATAGCTCCTTTCCCCACAGCCGTAGCACCTAGAGTTGTATCCTTTATTGCGGTCGCGAACTATAGCCACTGCAACCTCCCTGACGCTATAGGAACGACGATCTTGCCGCACGGCTTCCACCTCCAGTGCATGGGCCAACGCGTCCTTAAGCGTCTCGTGGTGCCCGAGCCTCACAGCAGCTCTGACTTCAAGGTCGCGGATGCCGTCGATGAATGTCTGCACCAGGTTCCCTACAATGAGTGCAGGTACAGACTGATATGCTTTTGGAACCAGCTTCTCCACCTCAAGGGCCCACTGCTGCAGGTTTTTGTAGCTGCGTTGCACGCAATCTTTGAAAGACGAGTTCCAGGTGAGCGTCGCCATATCTCGCCTCCAATGCCTCAAGGAGCTGCTCTAAGTCACTTCCTTACCGAGAGCTTCCAGAACAGTTAAGGTCTCGTCGGGTAGGCCTAGGGTGAGAGCAGTCATGGTCTGACTTTTATTCCAGTCATTCGCCTTCATAACAGCCTCGAACTGGATTTTGTAGGCCGACCAGGAGAGGTCCCGTCAAATGGCGGCACTTTGAATAATCCACCTAGCGAAGGTGTTGTAGCTACCACGGGAGCTGTAATTCCATCTCCAAGTTTGATGTAGTCCAGCGTTTTCTTCACGTCAGCCATCACGTTGTCAACCCGATTGTACACTTGGTCGATTCGGGTTTCAGCTTCCGACAGGCGGTTGTCATATTGAGCAACCCTAACCTTCACCTCACTTATCTCTTTCCCGAAGGTAGCGTGAAGGTCCTTCATGAGGAGCATCTGCTCTCTTTATCGCGTTGCTGCTCTTCCAAGCAACGGGCCTGTTCCTCCTGTCCGCGCTGCAGCTGCTCTTCCAACCGACGGGCCTGTTCCTCCTGTAGGCGAGATTGCTCTTGCGGCATCACCATCAGAGCACCTAAGTCAGGTGCTGCAGATGCAGTAGCTGCTGACGGGCTGGCCGCCGTGGTCGGCAGCTGGCCCTCCGACGTTTGCAGTGTTGCATTACCAAATCGTCTCTGGTCCGTCTCCAGCTGGCGTTGAGTTCGGGTACGGATACCCTCAATGTCGTCCTTTGGTAAAGTCGGCATGATTTGATCCCACTTCTGACACCAATTGTTACGAGCTTGGGGTTCGAGACAATTAAAAACTGCCGATTGAATTACCAAAATTGACACTTTAATTACAGAACACTAATTACAATCGAAAAACACACTAATAATAAAACACAATTGTACTACTGATCACTTTAGTGCGCAGTTATTTCGCTTCGAAGTATTCTCTTGTATCGCCAATTCAATAGACTCGGTCTTGGTCTATACCGGACTTATATAGGGCGTCAGATAGTTTCCAGAACCTTCTACTGTAGAAACATCTAGTATGTTCGAGTACATATCGGTCCCGAAATTTCTGGAAGGATCTGGACTCTCCTAGTTCTGCTACTCGATACCAGAGGGCGCTAGTGGTAACTAGTATTGCCATGTACAAGACATTAATAGTGGCGCGCAACAGTATGTGTGTGTGTGAGAGAGAGAGAAGGAGTATTCGGAGGAGCGTGTGGGTGTGTGTGTGTGTGTGTGTGTGTGTGTGTGTGCGCGCGTGTGTGCTCGCGAGCGCGTGCGTGTGTTGCGTTATGTGCGCGTGTGCGCGTGTGTGCGCGCGCACGTGTGTGTGTGTGCGCGCGCGTGTGTGTGTGCGTGTGTGTGTGTGTGCGCGTGTGTGTAAGCGTCTGTATGCGCGTATGTGCGCGTGCGTGTGTGTGCGTGTGCGCGCGTTGCGTTTTTTGTTCGTGTGTGCGTGTGCGTGTGTGCGCGTGTGTGCGCGCGCGCATGCGTGCGTGTGAGTGTGCGCGCGCCCGCGCGCGTGTGTGTGCGTGTGTTGTGTTTTGTGCGCGTGTGTGTGTGTGCGTGTGTTGTGTTTTGTGTGCGTGCGTCTGTGTGCGCGTATGCGCGTGTTGTGTTTTTTGCGCGTGCGTGCTTGTGTGTGCGTTCTGCGTTTTGTGCGCGTGTGCGTGTGTGTGCGTGTGTGCACCCGCGCGCGCGCGCGTGCGTGTGAATGTATGTGCGCGCGCGCGCGTGTGTGTGCATGTGTTGCGTTTTGTGCGCGTTAATGCGTGTGTGTGAGCGTCTGTGTGCGCGTGTAGCGTTTTTTGCGCATGTGTGCGCGTGTGTTCGCGCGCGCGCGTGCATTTGTGTGTATGCGCGCGCGTGTGTGTGTGTGCGTGTGTGCGCGTGTTGCGTTTTGTGTGCGCGCGCGCGTGCGTGCGTGCGTGCGTACGTGCGCGCGCGCGCGTGTGTGTGTGTGTGTGTGTGTGTGTGTGTAGGGTTTAAAATGTTTATTAGAGGAACCTATTCTGGACTTGAAATTAAATAGAAACATTCTATTCTATTCGTTGCGCAGCAGCATTTTCTTGATAACACCTCAATAGTAATAAAAATCTGCGGTTGCCAACCAGCCTGCAAAGTGTGACCACTATGGAAAATATCTCCCCCAAAGAAACAATCTCTGGGCTGTGATGATGATTAATGATAAGTGTTTTTTGGCAAATAAAATGTGTACTAGACTATCTGCGTAACTCACCCACAGCAGCAGCGGTCTTGCTATTGGGCGTGTTGGTGCAATCGCCCAGACCATACATGTTGGGATACTTGGTGTGCTGCAGGGTATACTTGTCCACGGTCAGGTAGCCCGCAGCATCGGTCATGTTGGGACTGTTCCGGAGGAATTCAGGCGTACACATGGGCGGCGTGGCGTGGAGCAGACTATACGACATCGTGAACTCCTGTACAATTAATCTACAGATGAGGTTTCTTAAAGCTACAGTTAAAGTTGCAGCTTATATACGTCCCACTGCTGGGCACGGGCCTCCTCTCACTTGACTTCACATGTCTTCGATCTTTTTTTTTCAGGCATGCAGGTTTCCTCACGACGTTTTTCTTCATCGCCGAGCACGTGGTAAAAAATTAGGTTTCTCATTGAAAACTAATTAAATTGGCGACAATTTCAGACTTTAAATGGATGATTATAGAATTTTGCAATTCAGCACGGTGACAATTTACGGGTTGAAATCTACTCAATTCATTTACTAGGTAACTAGGTAGTGTTTACCAGGTGACTGCTTTTTCAGCCTAATAATATGTTTGGGCAGGTGCCATCTTCTTAACTATATCTGCCGTCAAACAGCAGCGTCTGCATTGCTGTTCTTTAATGTTTACAAGTTAAAAGAGCTGGGTCGTATTTTTGTGACGTGGGTGTGCTTCGGAGGCAATTTTGTGCCGGCCTCTTAACACTACGAAACTTGGGACACAGGTCAGGGATTCAGCCCCGAGCACAGAAACAACTGATTAACAATTTAAAATTAAACATTTTGTACAATCGACTTCAATATACATTATTAAGAATAACTCAAAAACTATTGGTCAGACCTTGATATAAATTCATATGGGACCAACATGAGAAGCACCACCTTTGAAATAAAAAAGAATCATCGAAATCGGTTCACCCAGAAAAAAGTTATGATGTTACACACATAAAAAAAACATACAGTCGAATTGAGTACCTCCTTTTTGAAGTCGGTAGAAAGGAGGTTGATATTTGTTTTACTCTTAAAAACTCATTGCTATAAGGTCATAAACCAGAAAGAAAACAGGCGAGAGCGTTTGTATGAAGAAAAGACCAGCCGCATTTCCTCTTGAAATGCTTATGTTAGTAGTCATTCACGATAGAAGTCGATTAGCGGATTCGAACTCTTGACTTTTTGTGTCCACGAACACATATTTACCTCTTTGGTCTAGTGGTTGTAGTAGTGCGACCGCTGATCATGAGGTCCCGGGTTCGAATCCCAGGTCGGGCCAAAAAATCAGTTATTGAGTTTTTCCGTCAAGAAATTCTCAGTAGCTGATCTATGTCAGGAAGTTGGCGGTGTCTCAAACCCCGTGCCTTGGAAAGCACGTAAAGCGTTGGTCCTGCGCCTCATCTCTCTCCGGCGGCGTCGGTTTACCTTCCCAACGGAGTATGAGAGTGAGGGAATAGAGAGTGCACCTGTGCTTGCGCATACACTTGGGCGGTATTACCCTGTCTTGCGCCGATGGCTAGTCTCCGTTGAGACTGGCCACCGTGGCCGAAATTCGGTCTGGAGGACATTATTAACCATTAGGCTATAATCGCATTTAACTAGATTCAGATCGCTAATACCATAATTACATAATAATATAATCAGTATCTATACGCCGTTATCAAAGAATAATAAAAGTCGATTGCGAAAATGTTGCATTTACTTGTGTCGTAAGATTTCTGTAATGATATAATGTGAAATATCAAATTCAAACATTTACAATAGATAATGTTATAAAGGTCCCACAGAATGACAAGGAAATGTTAATCAATTTTACTGGACTGTGTTTTGTTTTTGTATGAATGCGATATCTTCGCCAATTGAGATCCGATTTGAAGATTCTTTTATTATTAAATAAGTGATAGACACTTCAGGGGTGGTCCCATATAAATTTGTGGAAAAAATTTCACCCATAAGGGCGGCAAAATAGCGTATGAATTTTAATGTAACTATTTTGGCGACATTGAGATTGTGATATAAATAAGTCCATTCGAAAGTATAAAAAATAACTTAACAAAAAATAAAAGCCGGCTTTAAAGAATTAAAAATAATAAAATAATTTCATATTCTCTATTTATGGGATTAATTCTTCTATACTCTAGCTTAGCACCGAGGCACCGACTTCAGAATGTGAAATTATTCAAAAGTATAGTCGGCTCTTATATTTTGTTATAGTAATTTTTTAAATACAAAGGGGCCTTCCTCACTGGATCCGTGCGTTTTCGTTTCTATACCGAATCTGTACAGATTCTTTACCGAACGCATACTCGAATGGTTCGGTAGTACTCTGTACCGAGTACTACCGAACCATTCGACTCGCCCGTCCCGTCACTCCCGCCCCACCCCGCAGCGCAGTGCAGGCATTATAACAAAATGACAAATACTGTAGTAAACCGAGTCATTCAAGAAGTGGTTCTCGGTAAAGAATCTGTAAAGATTCGGTACAGAAAGGAAAACGCATAACAACGGTGCGGAAGGCGCCTTAGACATGCAAGTTTTCTCATGATGTTTATCTTCTTCGACGTGCATAATATGCTAAATTGCATTTAATAATTTTGCTGTATAACCACTGGAAAACAATATCTATTATATCTATATATAATGAAGAGATTTAGCACGACTAATGTGAAGCGGTAAAGAGTTCCACAAACGCGCAGCAATGACAGTAAAGGATTTCTTCGAAAAGGAGGAAAAGTACAAAGGAGTAGAGAGCGACAGATTGACAGAGGATCGAAGGAACCGATTATGAGTAAGGGAGATATACTGGAAACGGTCTTTACTTTTTTCACCTCAAAACAACGACATAAATCAGGCTGAATGAATTGCCGCCATTGTCTGGTGGCTTACGTCTTGCTGGTCAACTTGTCAAATGTCAACGTCTCGCGATTTTGTTTTTAAATTACGAAGTAGGATTATATCTTGGTTTGATTTCTAATTTATTGATTCACAATAACAATAACCATTGCGTTGGCCATAGTTTTGTACAAGAACTGTCTTCTTAAACTTTGGATTTAAATCATCATCCAGTATAAGCGAGGTTAATTTACCAATGTTTGCAAAGTAAACGCAGTGATTTACGCTACGGTACAGACATCTGTAACAATTACTTTAAATCAACTATTTTTCTCTTACTATTCATTGATTGATTTCATCATTAAATCATAAACAAATTAACCAATTAAAACAATGTTTGTATTGGTTAATTTAAGCAAAAAATATGATATCTATGTAAGCTACAAGTGTTAAAATTAAAAATTTTGTACAACCGACTTTCAATATATGTACGAGCTGCTATGCTGTACCTTAGAAGTTGATAGAAATGATAAAGACTAGAACTGATTGTGTAATTTATTGAATGATTGCGTACTGAATTGATAAGAATGAAAAATTAAACAATAAGGTAAAAATGCTGATGTGCAGAAATGTGCAGTTTGTAAAGAACGTGCAATATAAATAAAATGAGAACATCATCAATGTAGTCGATGTCAATTAAATACGCATTATTTAAGGATACCTATAAGCTACTGGTCAGATCGTAACCAAATTTATATGGGTCCACATGAGAAGTACCAGCTTTCAAATAAAAAAAGAATGACCAAAATCGGTTCACCTAGAAAAAGTTCTGAGGGAACAAACTTAAAAAAATACAGTCGAACTGAAAACCTCCTCCTTTTTTTGAAGTCGGTTGAAAATGTGAAGTTATGAGCATGTATTATTACATTTTTATGAATTGTAAAAATAGATAGCGAACTCTTTAGCCTTCTTTGTGACATCATCATTAGTAAAAGTTAGAAAATTATCAGATATTAACAACTGCTATAAGAAAACAATTAGAATTGATGTAATAAACTTAAGTATAAAAAAAAAACAAAAAAACGACACCTTAAAAAAAGTTACTCAGTATCCGAATTCACATTAGGAGAGCAAGACAATTTCTTTTCCCGCTCCAAAACGTATTGGAAATGGCAAAATACCTGCGCTCAGCAGTGGGAAATTTAAGGCGATACCCCGGCCAAAACCTTGCGATAGTGCGTTTTTCAGAGACTATTATCTCATTAGTTATGAGAAATAAACTACATCTAAAAGCACATTATTAATGTTTGATATCCTATCATCACATGCCACGTTTTAATTTGTTTTTATGTGTTATGTTAACAGATGCATGTGATCAATAATTTTACTCATGTAAAAAAATGACTAAAATTATTGATTACATGCATCTGTTGCTAAAGGCAACGCTCTAATCATTTGAGGATTACACTAATGGATAGATAATTTAAAGATCTATATTCTTCACGTTTTATTTAATTTTTGTAGTTCGTTTTTCTTTTTTAATTAAAATAATTCCAATAATTGTGTGAATTCTATGATAAAGCGGCGTACGTATAAAGAGGGAACGAATGCTCAAGGTTATTTGGTCAGGGAAACGCCTTAAGGGTGACTTTACTTTTGTTCCTTAAGTTTAGATTATGGTGAAGCAGCATTTGTCTGACCTTATTGGTATCAGCCGTATTGTAGAAAACGGCCTCCTTTTCGGCGGGCCGCACTTCTTTGAGTACGGTCTGGTAGTTGACCTTGATGTTCTTCCGCTCAACTACCTTGAGCAGGGCATCCGCGTACTTCTTCACGCCGAATATCACGGGAAGACACGTGTTGTACACGATGTTAGCTTTAGAACGCACGTTTGCCTGAAATTAATTATTTACTTACTTTATACTTATTACAAATTTTTTTCTATGGAATCCGTCCACAGATAAATAATAAACTTTTAATTAAAGATGTTAGAAATCAATTTGCTAAGATCGGCGTAATAAAATAAAATGGTGTGTTTTACCTACTTTGAAGAGCACCTCCCGCTCTCCCTCAATTCTCTAAGACAAGTAAGACCGCTAAGTCGGTCAGCCACCGCAGTCTATGGGCGTGCCTCAAGGCTCAATTCTCGGCCCCTTTCTGTTTCTTGTATACATTAATGACTTACCTTACATAGTAGGAGATAACCATGATATAGTATTATTTGCAGATGACACTTCTTTAATTTTCAAATTAAGTCGACAATTGCTAAAATATGACGAAGTAAATAATGCTATATCTAAATTAGTAAATTGGTTCAATGTTAATAATTTGCATTTAAATGGCACTAAAACGAAATGTATGAAATTTATGAAATTTATGACTCCAAATATCAAACAATTAAATACTAATGTAATTTTAAATGGGGAGAAACTGAGTCTTGTAAATACCACCATTTTTCTTGGAATCACACTAGACGCGAAGCTTCAATGGAGCCCCCATATATCAAAACTAGCAAGCAGACTTAGTTCTGCAGCATATGCCAACAATAGTTAGAACTCTAACTATTGTTGAAACAGCTAGACTAGTTTACTTTAGCTATTTCCATAGCATAATGTCGTATGGTATTTTGCTATGGGGACACGCAGCTGACACTGAAATTATATTTGTTTTACAGAAGAGGGCCATAAGAGCAATTTATGATTTAAAGCCTAAAGAGTCGCTGCGACAAAAATTTAAGGAAATTAATATATTAACTTTGGCCTCTCAATACATTTATGAAAATGTACGTACACAAAAATAAAAGTAGTTTTACAAAAATAAGTGATATTCATTCTGTAAATACTAGGAACAGACACAAGCTAGTAGTACCAGTTACTCAACTCCATCGAGTCAGTAATTCATTCTTGGGGCGATGTATACGCTTTTACAACAAAATTCCAGAAAATATACAATATTTGACCTGCTCAAAGTTCAAAAACTTTATTAAACTAAGCTTGTATAAAAAGGGTTATTATAATATTAATGAATTTATAGATGATAATAACCCCTGGAAATGAGGTGATCGCTACCAAGCTATTTCTAATTTGTTGTGTTGTTAATATGTGTAACATACATGATTGTAAGCTGTTATTTAAAAAAAAAGTCCCGCTGGGTTTCTTGCTGGTTCTTCCCAGGACAGAGGTTTTTTTTTCGAACCAATGGTAATCATACAAAAGAGTGACTTTCATTATTTATAATCTATATTGAATAAAAAAGTTTCTGTTTCTGTTTCTGTTTCTACTTCATTTGAGGATGCGTCGTGTAGAGGCGAAACTTGTGTCGTATTATAGACGGTAGTGTCTTTCCTAGTGTAGTGGTGTTAGGATTATTGGTGATGGGGACAGGGCACGGAATTGAGGGAGGGTGGTAGGTCAAACTAGGTAAGAAACATTTTATTTTATTACACTAATTTTAGCAAATTGATTTTTAACATCTTTAATAAAATGTATTTCTGAGAAGTAGCGCCTGATTATATTAATAGACTTTTTAATTATTTATGGTGGAACCATGGTGCAGCTCGATTATGTATATAAGTATATAACATATTAAGTCGGCTCAACTCGAAAAAGGTTTCGCTCGCAGAATGCCAGTGTAAAATAGCAGCATAATATTGTTGTTTCGTATGGTTAGTAACGAGAACCCCAGAAACCTCTAGGTGGTAATACTCCGTTTCTTTGATTCTTGATTTTGATAGGTACCAGCCTCTTATCCATTTCTGATGCCAAGCAGCAATGCGTGTACCGTTGCCAGGCGTCCGGTTAAAGCTTTGTTAAAACAAAGTGTTTGTATTTTTGTATTTGTATAATAAAAATTGTCGTGTTGTGTTAAGACTAAAAAAATTAAGTGTGTCTGGTGTTTGGACCCAAATGTCCGGCTAAACTGGCTGGTCTTTCCGGCTTTTCGGTTTTAAGACCTGTCAAACCTAAATCCGTGCCATGATGTATTGCCAACCCGCCTGCCAAGCGTGACTCCCACCGCAATGAGACCAAATATATTGAGGTGACCTATGTTCAGTAGTGGACTTTTGATATGCTGTAAAAGTACACATGTAGTTTTTACACGTGGTAGAGACATGCTGCAGCTATATTAGTAGAATAGTTGTAACACGAATGGGTCGGCTCGACCATTGAAGGACCAAGCTCTCACAGAATACCAGCGTAAAATAGCAGCTTAACACTGCGGTGTTTCGTATGGTGAGTGTAGAGAACCGGAGACCCTTTTTACTGGAAAAGAGGCATTTCATCTTAGACCTAACGGGTGACAACGCATCTGCATTTTGATTCGCAAACGAGGATAAATGTATATGTCTATGGGTCACAGCAACCACTTACCATCAGGTGGACTATGCGCTCGTTTGTCACCCTATCCTATAAAAAAAAAGTAACGGTTCCAGTGCGTGTTGTGAACTTCTCATGACCTCGAAATATTTAATTTTTCATATATATACAAGTTCCTAATGATATTTTCCTCCTGCGCAGATCGAATACACGTCAATGGCGTACTGTGATATTAATGTCGGATGCTATGCTGAGCCACCACGACATAGTTTACATATCGATGTTAATTTAACCTTTGCGTTGTTAAAACATGATTTTTTTGTTTATAAAACACGTGTTATCAGCTGCATGTAAGGCTGATGTCATCACTATATCACACTATTATAATGCATGCGCGAGAACAATGAACAATAATGACAAGAATAATAAACTGTGTCCATATATCTCTAGCTTTATGTTTTGTGATTTGATACCTAATGCAATAACGCATTTGCAATAATATATAATAAACAAAAGAAGATTAATAAAAATAATGTTTTCAAATGTCAACAATAGAAAATGAAATATTTGATTTGCAAGTATAAATAATAAGATTGATTGGATTGTTTTTACCTAATTGCAGGAATGGCCTATAAATATTTAAAATAAATAATAAACATTGCTATATAGTAGGAGGGGAAACCACTTACATGAGATGAAAGAAGTTATGCTTGTTATAATCAATATTATTTTATAATTTATGTTCATTATTATTACTTATATAGTTGTAATAATTATTTATTAAAAAAAATGTAAAGAAAAAAATGATGATAATAAAAAAATATATATTTAATTACTAATTTGAACTGGCTAATACTCGGGGATCCGCGGTATGTACCCTAATGTGAACAGTTGTGATTAAATGCAATATGAGCAGGGATGCGCGCGTACTGTACTGTTCATATGTTGGGCGCTGGCAGAATAACAGAGTTGTGGGCAACTGCAACATTTATGCTGAGCTAAAGCCAATTCATTACTACATTATCTAATTCTTGTCATTTTTGTATGTACGCATTTTAACTTTATTGGTGGTAATGAAAAAATGATTATTATTAAGTATCTACACAAATTAAATTTCCCCAATGAGGCAGTCTCTCTGGAGAGTCCTAGGTGTAGCTATCGAGTCTTAAGAGTCCATAGGTTGATAGGATAAGTTGTAATAAAACCTACGCAAAACAAAAACTTATTATTATTGGAAGGAAATGTGTCACATTAAAAAAATACCACGAAAACTAACTATTCCCGGGTGGTGGCGATGCAAGAAAAACAATCACCCCATATTGTCCTTTTGGTAACGTCATACGCTACTATGGGAAAAACGAAAAATTTTCTAATGCTTTCGATAGGTGGCAATATCTATCTCATATACAGTAAAATACCCTGACATGAGATGGATGACCAGAGTCAATTGTGCAAGACAATTAATAGTGCGATCGACGAACGACTTGCCAAGATTATTATGGTAAATCGGGGAGGATTTACAATATTATGTAGAAAGAATGAAGTGACAAAGCAAATTCATGTTGCAGAAGTAAACGGCAGAGTCAGTAAGGGACGCCCTAGACGAAGGTTTATCGACCAAATTGGCGATATATTGAAAATGGGCCAGATTAGGAGTACCCTTAACCGACGAGCGTGTATGCGTAGATATATGGATGTAAAGGAGGCGAGAGAGGTGTGTCAGGATCGTGCCAAATGGAAGATCGTAGTCTCTGCCTACCCGTCTGGGTGACAGGCGTGAGTGTTTGTGTGTTGAGTGATTTACAATTGGAATTTCTGTATTCAGTAGCAGACTCTTACCAACCAATGTACAAGAAAGAAAATACATTCATTTAAGTCATATCAACAGTTTTCCTGTCCGCGAAACAGACACAATAGTTAAACAATTGAAATGTTATTATATATGATTCATGGGACAGGAAAAGGGTTAAGGAATGGTATGTCTCAACTTACAACATAACGCTTTCTGTCGGTGACGCAATCCCTTATGCCGTTACGAAATGACTGAAATAATAATATAATTACCTTAGTGAAATAAGAATCAGCAAGGTATGCGATTTTCTGCGGTGCCCCAGGGCACTTAATCGGTGAATTGGGGTACGTAAAGACGGCGTTTCCGCCCTGGAATCTTTGCATATCCCTCCAGGTCTTCTCGCAATATACCGGGTCGAAAATCGTGGAGACGCCGCTATTCTCGTCCTTCAGTGCTTCGCTTAGCCCCGGGACCTTAGGATGAAGGTGAAGTTATTAGGTATATGTTGTCAAGCAATAGGGCCAATAGAAATAGGTCTGAGGGTTGGACCAACCTAATCTACACCTAGGTAGAAAAGAGCCCTACCACCAAGAAATTAATTTAACAATTTTATTTATCAATATCAAAAAGGGGGCCAAGATTTCTTTTTTATAAAATAAGGGTGACAAACGAGCACACAGTCCACCTGATGTTAAGTGGTTGCTGAGGCCCATAGACATCAACATCTATCCTCTATTACAAATCAAAATGCAGATGCGTTGTGACCCGTGAGGACTAAGATGGAATGCCTCATTTCCAGTAAAAAGAGTCACGACCGAAAAGGGAAGATCAATTAAAACTACGTTTTATTTAAGTTTCTACTAAAGTAAAAGTAGCAGCTGAGGTATTTGATGAGAGTCTAGTTATTGAAATAGCACTTTTCAGATCTTAATATTTCATTAACTATAATAGGTTTGTTCATGAAATTTTCCTTGGATTCTCAGTATTTAAGGGATCTTTATTAGGCGTGCAAAATAATTGTACAGGTCTAATAGGTTATGAGTAACTGGGGGAACCCCATGTGGCTCGAAATGGTTTACACACTGGTGATACATTGCCCTTTTCTTTTCCGACCTTGGCTGACACACTGCCGTTTTCTAGATTTATTACCTTATAATAGTTTCTTATAATACTTTACGCATACCTTGCAATAGTCATTTTTCAAGCCCACGGCGATCACGATGTACTCGTAATTTATGACGTCACCCTTCACGGTCTTCACAGAGCACTTCTCTGCATCGATGCTCTCAGCCGCATCCTGGATCCACGTAGCGGCCGAAGGCAGCACACTTTTTTCCGACCGGCATGTTGCCGAAACCGGCTTAACACCGGCACCGACCAGCGTGAACAGCGGCTGGTAGTAGTGCGTCTAGAAGTTATAATTACGGTATATAGGGTTATTTTGCAATAACCGGCCAAATTTGCAGAGAAGTTTCAGAATAAGTAATATAGGCAAAAAGTGAAGAAAAATTAATTTAAAACAATTTCAAACATTCTGTCCTTTTTATCTTTTAAATTCAAAATACGTGGTAATGCATTAGGTATTTTAACTTATTTTACTCCGCAAGCACACATTCGTAAGGGTCGATCAGTAGGCAAAAACGTTGTTGCCCATAAATCACATTCAATTTGGGATAATTTCAAATAAATGTAGAAGCATTACTCATATTTTCAAAAACTGCAATAACAGTATATCATTATTTATATATTTCAACCCTGTATGTATATAATGATTGTGTGGCCTTGTGGGTCGTGGTCATAGTACCTGGTTGCTAAACTGCGGTTTGTGGGTTCAAATGGAGCACTAATGCAAAATGCTTTTCAAGTCTGGTTGCATTATGAGTTGCCGAATCTTTATTTTCCATGGGGAAATGTCTAACAAAAACCGCCTCGCAAGGGCAAGAACGGGTTTCGTCAGACTCGCACCTTCTAAAACCCCATTGTGTTCCACCTTTGCTGCATATTGGTAAGGCAACAGGAAAGCTTTCGTACACATCCGCGGTCATACCAGTGCCGGTCACCCCATGGCGGCCCCTCCTCAGGAGAGGACAACTCCTCCTCGTCCCGCTCAAGTAAGGCACACCGAAACACAAGGTGCGCCTTCCCTCACGGCCTCCAATGAGTTGTCAACCCCAATTTATCTATGTAATATGTGAACTAGCTTTTTACCAGAGACTTCATCCGCATAGAACTGAAACAAAATAACTGCAGATGTGTAACAGTGGTCTTTAGGCAAGTAGTTGAACTGTTGAAATACCACTTTAAGCACTGTTTTTCTTTTGCTATTATCTCGAAAACTATATGTGCAATATGGTAAAATGCTTAAAATAAAAACTAAAGCTCTAATAACATCACATAAAAAAGTCTTGAACTTATCCTTTTATCAGTCAGTTTTGTTTTAAAATGATGTTGAGTGAAAAAAAAAATTAAAAATTGATCTCGCATTAAAATTATGTATGAGGACCTTTATTGTGTAAAATTGCAAGCCAAAAAAGTTTAAATTTTTTTTTAGTTAATGAGATTATAGCTCAAAAACCATTTACTTGATAATTTTTTAGATTTCACTAAAAAGTTCTGGCCATGCTATTTGGGTAAAATATAGCCTAGATCACTACTAGCATTGCTCATTATCTGTTTGTGAAGTCGGTTCATTCATTCCAAAGATTAGCCACAAAGCAACAAAAAAAAAAGGTATTCCAGTTTTAATAGCGTGCTAATAACTCCCTCAGATTTATAGATGGCAGCCAGACACTTAAATTTTATTTATTTAATTTGTATTAATTACATAGAATTCTTACTTTGAAAATTAACCAGTAATTAAGTTGTAAATAAGCTTAGATTTCAAACCTATAGCTATGGCATTGAATTTGAGTCAAGTTGGTGCTGTGTGTATAAACCTTCCTTTGATAGTAAACGCTGCCCATTAAACTGTGATCACCCATTTGCTTACATAGTAAGATTCTCCACCATGAGACCTTTCAAAGGCCACTGCTGAACATAGGCCTCCCCATAGATAGGGGGGTAACTTGCCAGAGTTGCCACGCTTGGCAGGCAGGTTGGCTACCATGGTGTTTTCTATTCTACTAAGTTAGTACTACTAGTTACCAGGAAGACACTACTACCTATTTCCTGATTTATTATTTCCCATGTTTGTCTGTTCCATGATTTCTAAAATAACACTTACCGAACTAGGCTCAAGAACAATCACAGAATCCTTTTTAAGTCTTTTTGTAAATTTTGCAGCTACAGTGCAGCCACCTGATCCACCCCCAACCACAAGTAATTTACATCTAGAAAAAACAATCATATTTAGGAAAATGTTTTAGTATTATGTTATTAATTTGGCTGTAAATAGTTATAAATTTGTAAACATTTAATACACAGTAACGGAACTAAAAAAAAAATTATCTATAAGAACTTAATACATGTTTTAAATTTAAATTATGAGTTTAAGGGGTGTAAGTAGGCTTGCTTGCTTGCTTGTTAAATTTTAGTCATAGCTAAAATGTTGTTGCCCAACTGTAAAATTATATAATGAAAAAATATTGTGTCATAAATATTCCTCAGAGGTGACGATGCATCTATAGCTTTCTTTGTTTGAAATTAGCCCCAGATGTCCCCAACTGCAGTATCTGATTACCATTAAATGGATTGTCAAATCTTTAGTCACTTCAGTTTAATAAAATATAATTCTTGTGACTACTCATTTGTTTTTAGTATGAAATCGTTGAATCCTTGCATTGGTAGTAAATTTTTATATAGACCTGTAATTCTGTCATAACCAGATTTCATTTGACAAATCTACTAAACAGGGCAGCTAAAGTCTATCAAATTCTACTATCTAAAGAACATTTTCTACCCAAACTATTGGCTGAATTTTAAAAGGAATAATAAAATATATTTATTTGATTATTAATGCATATGACTTGATGACATAGCAAAATTTAATTCTTTGTAATTGGGTCCACAAAACATAATCAAATAAAATAACTCCAATGCTTCAGGAAGAAAAAGCAACTTGACTTATGCTTTCATAAACTTTTACTGTTTTAGTTTATGAATTGTGACATGGTAAAACTATAACCAGTATCAACAAATAAAGCAAGTAATTTAAATTATGTTCAAAGTATAGGTATTAGATTAGAAGATATTAAGTTTTGTTTAAGGTGGGTATTGGTGCTATAAAAGAATCCACTATCACAAATCACGATGTTGGTGTCATAACAGATAACAGAGGGAAACAGAAACAGGTGATGGGCAGCAGCATTTTCTTGATAACATCTTAATATAATAACAAGCTGCAGTTGCCGACCTGCCTGTTAAGGGTGGTAACAACAATGGCATATATCCCCTCTATGAGATAATCTTTAGGGGAGGCCTATGTTCAGGTATGGACTTTTGAGAAGCTGTAATAAATTAATGAATAAATAAAATATTTTAGTTATTAAATGATTATACAAGGGGTATTGTAACATGCTAGTAGCTAGATGATTGTCAAACAAGGTCTTGGCTACTGACTAATTATGGAATATCCATACAAAAATGCGAAATCAAAATTTTATAGATTAGAAGTGGCTTCTGCATTACTAAGTGTGAGCAACATTTTTAAAAACATAGTGTATATACAGCAAGGGAGTTGAAGGCTGCTAATGTAATATGTGTGTAATATTACCATCAATGAGAATAATATTATTTATATAAAATTACTTAAATAAAAATCATCATTACAGCCTTTCAGATGTCCTCTGCTAAACATACATCTCCCCCAAGGAATGCCACAAAAGACGGTCCTAAGCCACCTGCATGTCTTACCAAGTCGTCACTCCACATAGTGGGGGGCTGTGCCACACTTCACTCACAAATAAAAACAACACCAACTGCCACCAATAAAAATACTCACGAATAATTTTTGTTTTGTGTCGCCGACAAAGATAAGCTTCTACGCGTACTAGAAGTTACCCTTATCTTGCTAAGTTTTAACAGGATATTATTCATTATGTTTAATTAATATTCTCATACACTGTTAATTAATTAAAGCAGTAGGTCCTTTTATCTAAATCTAAACGAAAAAATTAAATGTTGTGCAAGTAAAAGGTAACTGTGAAATGAAACCGTATTGCAATCGACTGTCACCAATCATATTTGCACCGCATAATACATTTTTATCTTTGTTCCGTGCGTAATACGTTACGGCTAATGATATAATCGTATATATGTTCGATTTACAGAACACTATTACTCCTGGTTCGATTCTTCAATAGTCCGACAACCGACAACAAAATAAATCTAGAAAACTGTCAGCTAAGTAGTCTGTGACTGTCAGTGACTGTTAGCTGCTCAGCTGTCAGGGTAACCATAGATAAATAAATATGTTTTATAGCAAGGTGTCAACTGAACCAATGAGAAAAGTAATATATTACCACTGACTTAGAAGTGGGTATAGGTATATATCTCTATGTATATTACAGAACATACATAGTGGTGTCAACTGACAACGCATAATCGGGATCGGGGATCGGCGTAGAATAGAATAGAATGATTATTCAATATTGATTATTACATAATACTTATTGAAAGTCATTTTTTATTTACCACAGGTTCGGAAAATACCTCTGTCCTGGGTAGAACCAGCAAGAAACATAGCGGGATTTTTTTTAAAACATATTTCACTTACCAATAATTTTGTTTATACAATTTTTAAACCAGCATGGCGGCGATCACCTTATTCCCAGGGTTTATTTTCATTCGTGTATTCCTTGATATTACAATAACCCTTTTATACAGTTTTTCTTTAATAACATTTTTAAACTTATATATTGACAAACTTTGAACATATTCTGGGATTTTTTTGTAAAAGCGTTTACATTGTCTAATTACCTAGTGACTCTGTGGAGTCTAATAACTGGCATTTAAACACTAGGAACAAACATCAGTTACAAACTGATGTTTGTTCCTAGTGTTTAAAGTATGAACATTGTTATTCTTATTAAAGTTATTTATGTTTGTATGTACACATTTAACATACATAACATTTTCATAAATATATTATGATGCCAAAGTTAATATGTTTATTTCTTTGAATTTTTCTCTCAGGGAATCTTTACAATTTAGGTTATAAATTTCCCGTACGACTCTCTTTTGCAAAACAAATTTAGCTTCAATATCATAAGACTTAAAATTAAAATTAAAATTCCATAAGACGCTGTGAAAGTAAATAAAATACACTAATCTAGCTGTCTCAACATATGTGAAACTTCTAATCTTTCTTACAGCATACGCTGCAGAACTAAGTCTGCTTGCTAATTTAGATATATGGGGGCCTCATTGAAGTTTCGCGTCAAGAGTAAGAAAAACAGTGGTATCCACAAGACTCAATTCCTCTCCATTTAAGAGCACTTCGTATACGAAAGTTTTACATTAGGTATCGTAAATTTAATACATTTTGTCTTATTGCCGTTTAAGAGCAAATTGTTGGCGTTAAACCAATGTATTAATTTCGATAGAGCATTATTTACATCTTCATAATTAATTGACTGCCGTCAGCAAATAACACTATATCGTGATCGTCCCCTACAAGATAAGGTAAGTCATTCATATAGATTAAGAACAGGAATGGGCCAAGAATGGAGCCCTGAGGAACGCCTATTGATACTACCGATCCGGAGGAACCATTACCATGGATCTCGACTTTTTGAGTTCTATTGCTTAAATATGAAGTAATAAGTCTAAGTGTCAAATTTTTTACACCGTAATGTTGTAGTTTCCTGATTAATGTCCCATGATGAACACAATCTAAAGTCTTGGAAAGATCACAGAAAATACCTAAGGCGTCTTGTAAATTCCCCCAGGCATTAAAAATATATTTCATAAGCTCAACACCGGTGTCAGACGTGGACTCGAGCGATCTATTGTAAAACCAAATTGGTTTTTATGAAGTAAGCGTAGATAGAGGATTGTTAGTCTATGGGGATCGTGCATAATCGTAGATAGAAATAACCTTAGAACAGTAATAACTCAGGCGGAGGCCTTTGACCATACAGCTTAAATTGAATTAACGGCTGATGCGTCACATTGCGAAGTTTTTTGGAGATTTTAACGACAGCTTAACTCGGCGAACTGTTGATGACGATTATATCAGTCTCTAAAAACCATGACGGGACAATCTACTAACCCTTTTTGGCATGAAAGTCCGTGGAGACCAAACTCATTGAAGCTGATACCACAAGGATTCTGATGAGGTTGACCAATCGCTGTTCCTAATCGGACTCATAAGGCTATGCGCAAGCTTTCCCCATTAGTTAATTTGCCGAGGCAAGTGACTATATTCCTTAGTCGAAACAGCTAGAAGATGGGCCTGATCTTGGTGAATATAGAAATTATGAAACGAATCTTTCTACACACTCCATATTAACGGAATATTCCACTACTTTTGTTGGTTAACTTAATTTAACGTTTGCCATGTAAGCCTTGCCGCCGCAGCAAAGCGTAGGTCTACTACATTATCATTTAAAATTATGTTTCAAAAGTCACAGAAATTTTGAATAGAAGTAAGAAAAGTGGGTAGTGTATTATAAGATTTCTTACACTGATACCTCCAAATTTTACAGGTAAATTAACTTGAGGCCACATTTATATACAACGTGCAGCAACAATGGTGACTTTAATTTAACACAGGTAGGGCTAGACATGTCAATTAATCATATTATTAATTTTCATAGGTTAAAATAATTCGTAAATTGAAAAAAAAATTTTTCAAACAAACTTTATAATAAAAAAGTAACTAAAATTGGGATCACCCTTGCAAAAATTCATTCATTCAATTACTTACCTAGTTGTCTTACGTTACCTCGAAGAGGCAACGAGTCTCTTCGCGAATTGGCAACCGCGCAAAGCGTCTTGTACCCACAGCGGAGGTGATTAATCCTAGCATTTCTTACTACATAAAACCCTCTCTTGTTACTATTAGTTATATCTGTCATCACTAATCACTGCTTTTATTAGTGTTTATTTTAAATTTTCGTATGTTCAATGAGACCATCGTGTTGGTGGATATAAAGAGCTAAACCGCGTTTCATGTTTTCTCGCACTTTTGAAAATAAATTGTCACTTATAGCCATTTACCTCAATTTCTCAAACGCATTTATTATTCGATGGCGTAATTGTTCCACCGAATCCACGTTCTCCGCGTACACATCGTCTTTGATGCACCGGCAGAAAAAAAATCGAGTGGCGTGAGGTCTGGCGATCTTGCTGGCTACCTACGAGGTCCAAATCTACCAATCCATTGTGCACCAAACGTGTCATTTAGCCACTGCCTGGCTGTTGTTACAGAGTGTGCTGGCGTGCCATCTAATTGGTACCACATTCGTTGGTATCGATGAACGTTTAGGTTGTTTGTGTATTCGGTCACCGTATCATTTAGTAGATTAACAAACCTTTCTCCGTTCAAAGTCCCATCAATAAATACAGGTCCGATGATGTTGTCACCGTGAATAGCTGCCCAAACATTTACCGAAAATCTGTACTGATGGGCTCACTCCCGCCAAACGCGCGGATTTTGGTTTTGGGTGCTCAATGATGCACCTAGCGCTCTGGCGGAGGCTAGTTTTGGTTTGGTCTTCAAAATATTGCATCACATTTTCAGTTAACTGGATTGGGTTTTGTCGTGTAGGCGGTCGATCATGACGTTGAGACCTAGGATCCACTGGCTGGTTTTCACGGATGCGCTGAAGAGCTCCTACAATAGTGCGATGATGAGTAGGACATTGTCTTAAATGGCCATATCTCTCGCGATATGTCCTTATCGCAAGGGCGGCATTTTGACTAATAACACAAATAAAAAACGTCCGTATCGCAAGAGATTTTTTTTTAATGATAAGGGTGACAAACGAGTACACTGTCCACCTGATGGTAAGTGGTTGCTGCGGCCCATAGACATCTACATCCATCCTTTATTACAAATCAAAATATAGATGCGTTGTCACCCGTGAGGACTAAGATGGAATGCCTCATTTCCAGTAAAAAGGACCTCCAGCCACCTGCACTCACCAAGCGAAACGCAGAAGTAAACCTCCACTTCACTCTGGTTTTCTGTGAGGTTGTGGTACCACCCCGGTTCGAGCCAGCCCATCCGTGCGACAGCAAAAGCTGCCGCGTGGCTCTACCACTGTTAAAACACTGTTAAACATACCTACTAGATTAGAAAACGAAAACAAAACAAAGCGCCTTTATCGCAGTACCATAATCTAATTACTATTCTAATTACACAAAAATTAATAAATAAAACAATAGGTAAACGTCTTTTTCGCGGAAAAGTTCACAAAAATATTAGTCGACGTAATTATGTGCACTACTGTGAAGAAGTGTTTGACACACTTCGGACACGGATTTGGCTAGCATTAAGGCCCGCCACATACATACGGATTTCCGTTTCGGGATTCAGTTTCGATATTCCGATTCGGAGTTCCGAACGCAACAAGTCCATATAAAATCTATGACTCGTTACACACGTACGGCCGTTTTCCGTTCGAAATTTTGCGGGTAAAACAGGATTCCGTGAGTTTTTCGGGATTCCGAAATGGAACTCCGTATGTATATGACGGGCCTAAGAAAGCAAACATAGAATTCGATTTCGGTGTAGCGGGGTGGGAGGGTGCGCGTCGCTTGCGCCGTCAACGTGATGTCTCTTTCCTTCAATAGTATATCTTATTCGTTTTAATTTTAATGACGCAATGTTATATCCGTGACCCCAGCAAATGACCGCTGCGCGACAGTTCTCTAAGTACAGGTTGCTCTAAGATGCTATTTTCTAAAATTTTAAATAAATCTGTGAATAATTACTTTTAATAGAAATATAATTTCTTCATAAAACGAAAATGGGAAAACGTATATGTGTGTTAAATTAAAGTCACCATTGTTGCTGCACGTCGTATATACCGGGTGTTTGTGAAACGCTCCCGAAAACGAAGACAGACGATAGTACTAACGATACCTTTGATGATGGGTCAGAAAGAGAATCGAGGAAAAAAATCATCTTTTCACAACGTTTTACTAGCTTTATTCACGCTTCATCATGTTAGTACAGCTGAATGAAACTATGATTTCATAAAAAAAAAAATAAGGAAAGTATTTAAACATAAAACCAGTAGTGTAATTTAAATCATCTGACTAGGTTCAATATCCGCGCGGACGCCGAACTTTTTTATCTAGCTCGGTACGAAACTGACGAAACAATACATAAGGTATTACTATTCACTCTACCCTTCCCTTTCACACGCGCTGCTGCTGCAGACTCGTGTCAGTCGAGCGGCGGTAGCGTAACAGCTGCAGCAGAATTCCTCAAATTGCGGGGAATTTAAAGTTGGTTGGGGATTTTATGGGGATTGGTATTATGCGGGGAAAACGTGGGGATTTTGAAAATCAATAGCCGGGCTAAGTCAGAATATTTTTTACTGAAATCTAAATACTTACCTTAACATTTTTGTTAGGTTACTTATGAATATCGAATGACTCCCTTTTCTAATTATCTTTATTGCACCACATTTAATTTTTGGATTTATTATGGCAACTTTTGTGTATCATTTAATGCTTTTCGTTTCTTTATTTTTTAATTTTAAAGCAGAGAACCGCGTGCATATAAATGTAGATACTGTGATACTTTTAATGGCAATAAGGGAATGAATTAAAATTACATCATGGAGTAAAGTCCTTGTTACAAAATAGAAAGAGTGAAAAAAAATCGCTCAAAAAATAAAAAATAAATTAGTTGAAAAATAAATCTTATAAAATTAAGTCGAAAATTGTTTCATTTCTTAAAATAAAATAGAGGGGAATTTGTGGAGAATCTGGTAAAGTTTTGTCCTTAAATTGGGGAATTTCACATGAATTTTCGGATAATTTGACAAATTGGTATTGGCGACGCTGCCATGTTACACCGAAATTTACCTACTAAGATTTGTTTAGGAGATGTTCGCGACGTCTTGTTAAGAACATAGCTGAGAGACCTCGCACCGTGGCGGGGCGTTTTTAGTCTTGCAACCCGTCTCCCACATTGCGATAGTAGTTCGAGCCGAGGTTCGTTCGTTTCTGAGTGGCCCTTGAATCACATCGAGCCCCCCTAGCTAGAGGAGCCTCACTCCGAAATCAGAGCCCGGGGTGTCTCGGGAATGCAGCCGTATAAGAATTAGAGGCGGCAATCACAATAAAACTCTCAAGTAATTTTAATAATTTTATGTACCTCGTTTTAAATTCATAGTATTGGACAGATTAATAATAGAAAGTTAATTAAAATAAAGTAAAATCATTATTTATTTAGATTAATTCTAATAGATTAATTAATTGTCGATCATAATAAGGGCTAATCAAATTCTGCTCACCAGATGTCGCTAGCTGACACCGAGGTAAAGTTTTTTGTTGCATTATGTCATTTAATTGAGGAAGTTAGTTTTTAATAAAAGTTTATCAGTTTCTAGAGTATTATATTAATACACAAAACAATACCTCAATGGTTTTCTCTTTAATTTTTTGCACATTTGAAACTTTTTTAATTTTTCTAGTTTTATGAATATCTGTGGTTTGGTTTAGTTATTTTTATTTTGCTAATAGTAGAGAAAGAAACATTAACCTTTACATTTTCCGCAGAAATTATAGTGCTCGTGACGACGGCAACATGTTAATGTGCCTTGGGGAATAAATAAATAAGGGATCTACGTTTCAAAATAGCCTTTACAGGCTAACTGACCATTCAGTAGGCGATTTTTAAGCTTCGTTACCGAAAAAATCATTAGGCGAATTTAAACTACTTTTTACTTTCATTTTTGGCGACTCGTAACGGTCTAGACTTGGCAATGCAATGGCAACACTGAATTAAAATACAAATAAACATGATAGTTATGAACAAAAGGGTATACAGGTCTCTTTCATGTGGATTCCATAACATAGGGGCATAATAGGGAATGAGATAATAGATAAAATTGCACGTGATGGAACCAATATGTTGGATGTTAGCTCCATAGTAAAAGTACCTTTGACCGATTGTTATCAATCTATTGACAACCAGGTCAATAGTTTATGGGTAGAATTTTGGAAACAAGATCAAGCACAGAAGGGTAAATGGTATGGAACTGTTCAACAAAAACTACCTATAGCACCATGGTATAACAAACTGCAAATGGCCAGTCGGGAATTTATTATGACTATAAACAGATTACGTTTTTGTCACTCTACCGTCCCGGCCCACCTGGCTCGGTTGGGCATAGTGGAGAGCAGCTACTGCACCTTCTGCAATAATTCTGTTGGTGATATCGAACATTTCATATTTACATGTGAGTGCTTTTCATTTGACAGATTGATTCTTGTCAGTGAAATTAGTGACATTGTGCAAAATCAAGTAACAGTGCAAGATCCCTCTCGCCGTCTGAGTGATATGTTAAAAAATAGATCCTTTTACGTGCCTCTATATAAATTCATCAAAAATACAGTGGGGAAATTATAATAAACCGAATAATAATACTCAAGACTTGGCCTAAAGGTCTAGATACCAGGCCATAAACTCCAAAAAAAAAATAAACATGAAACATGGCGGATGAAGACGAAATTGATGTTCTTGGGGATTTCTCATTTAATTCTTGCTTTGCACTAAATAATCAAGGAATGTAAGTAGCATTGATTATATTTTTATCTAGTCGTTATCTTATATCTGTTTTGTGATAAATATGTACGGAATCCTAAATTGATATCGTTAACAATAAATATTGTTTTGTTTATTTTTACGGATTTCGTGTTTGTTTATTTAAAATGCATTGTTTATATTTATAATAACCACAAGATGCACGGTTAGGTTAGGAGCTGTGCATTTGTTTACCTATACAATTGTGGCGTTCTAATGTTTCGTGTGCAGTTGATTGATTTGCAACCTAAGTTAGAAAATAGACATTTTGTTGTGGTCGTAAATCGACTAGGATCATCTTTTTTTATATCACATTAATATTTTGCTGTCACTTACTTAAACTATGAAACAATTTATCGGGAAGGTCTGTGTTCAGCAGTGAATTTTTTATATACAAGTGATGATGATGATGTCGGTAAATTAACTCTCATTACGAAGGTAATGAGTACGACTAGGAAATACATACAAGTTTGAATTTTGCTCCACTTTCCGAGTGTAAGAGTCCGAAAGTTTTAAAATGGATTTCCGTATATGCATATTATGTTATTTTATTAATGAATATTTGTTTTTATATCTCAAGAACCTGTTGGAAAATCTTGACATCAATTCCAAGCAATTTTGTTGGATGTGTAAGTGCATAATGAACACCTGAATAAGTTTACATTTAATTTGATTCTGTAGTTATAAAAAAAAAAACTACTAAGTGGTGTAGAGTAAGGGTGGATCAAATTGCACTGCTTACCTACACCCATTTCATCATAAAATATTTATATTTCAGCCCTTCATGCTCTGATAGGGAAGACACTGTACATCCACAATGGTTGCTTGATTCAACAGCTACTAACTGGTATGATACCCAAATTAAAGGTAGTAACAGGTAAGCTGTCTGTGGCCATGCTTTATGCATATATTTTATGAAGTAATAAAACAAATAATATATATTTATTTATACTTTTATAAAAGTAAGCAAATGTTCTAAAATAATAATATGGAGCTGTCATATGAAAAATTTAATTATTTATATAAAATATATTAATTTTATATATACAGTGTAAAATATATAACGACACTCAGGGGACTGTGCATATTTTGATGTTATAGAGAGTTGTCATTAAATGGAAAGAAAAAACATCTGTATTAAAAACGAAAAAGTTTATTTCAGACCAGTGTTAGTAATGACATAAAAACAATTTGTTATTTGAATGCTATTGCATAAATCTGTTATTTTCATCTGATGTCTTTTGCTGCACCAGTAATTGTGTAGTATTTTATTTATATCTTGTGACATTGAGTTATCTTGGTGATAAAGAAAGTACTTTTCCAATAATTTTGCTGCTTCAAGAGCTTCTTTAATGCTGGGCGGAGGCTCAGGCTCCTCTTTTTCATCTCCTTGTTTTGATCCTCAGTTTTTATTACCGTATTTTTCTTATCGTATCCAAAATTTCTTTGTCTGTGAGTAAAGCCGCTGTAAGCAGGCAGTTATCTTCTTCAATGTAGGTTTGAAGATTTTCTGTAAATTTTTCTACATTGTTGAATTGTTGAATTCACTCAGTCAATGGAAGGTCGTAGTGGCTATCAAACTCCAGTTCTGTTTCCATCCTCCTTTGTTTGTAGAATTTTTTCTTTATTTTTCCATATTGAGGGCTAGGTAGAGCAACTAAATCCAAAGCATTTACCAACATCACTTGTCTTCTCTCCCGCCTGTATTGTGCGTATCAGTAACACTTTTTTGTCAATACACAGTGATTTTCTCTTACTTGTCATGTTTACAGTTTCAAAGTTGTGAGAAACTAAGAATATTATAACACATAGATAATCCATGACTCCTACTAACAACAATCTACACATGCAAGCAATCGCAATTTATAAACAAAACAACGGATTTTTTAGAGAGTAGTATGTATGATGCCAACAGTGGAGTTTATTACGGGCTAGGATAGTAAAACAACGTATACAGCTATGCAGTTTTTACTAATTTTTGCAACTTAAAAAGTACTCTTTATTATTTAATTGTTGTTGTTATTGAGAGTGGTTGTAATGCTATATAGAGTTTATCATAGTATGGAAGACAACCCAAACCAACCAAAGCCGCGTGATTTGAAAGCTTTAGGGAGTTTGTCGTTAAATTGAGTGACGTTACTTGGAGTTTACACTGTATTATCTATTATATTTTATATAAAATTAATTCTCAAACTTTTATTCTGCAAGAAAGTAAACAATTACATGGTCTAGCACATGTGACACATACATCCTCCATTTAGAATCAAAATGATGATGCATTTTCATCCCTGAGGACTAAGATAGGATACCTTTTTTTCTGTAAATAGTGCTTAAAATGATTCTCATTACTTACAATCCAAAAAACAGCAGGTACATGCTGCTATTTTACTCATGTTCTGAGTGAGTGTGGTCCTTCTCCAGTGTAGGTAAAAAATTAATATTGCAGTCATAATACCACTGCAATATGTAAATTAAACTTATTACCTAGATATTTTTTTTTGCTCTTAAGCCTGTTAACTCATGTTAGAGGTATAAGATTTTTGTAACCAAAAATGAAACTGAAAATTGAAATCTTCGGGAGTCACTCCAGCCGAATCATTGTTTAGTTTGGGCAAGTGTTTTTTTAAACATGGATTTTTAGTGATATATATCAATTAAAAACATCTGAATATAATTTCATCATGGTAGCTCAGGGTCTTAGCGCTTGCTGTAAAGTTTACAGTATGCGAGCAACCAGGGTTTGATCTCCGCCTGCACCAATGAAATTGTTAATTGCAATTTTTGTACTGATTTACCACTTGCTCGACTGTGAAGGGAAACATCATAAAAAAACTTACTTGAAAAATATCTGAGACATTTATTTTTTTCGTAGCTGTGAAGTGCGCTATCACGCATTAGGGCAGCGCGACGGACACTTCTTAGCCCTAAAATCCTCTCAGAAGTGAGAGGAGGCCTGTGCCCAGCTATGGCATGTATATCAGCTGTAAATTTATGTTACTTTGACTTTTATAATTTTCATCATACATGCAACTGATTAAATATAACTTTGTATTTATAGCATTTCTTGAAAGAAAATGTAATGTAAAAAATAAAAAAATTATTGTTAAATATCTTTATTGAATATAATAATTATTTTATTATCTTACAATTAATGTATCTTTAAACTTTTAGATCAAAAGATGGTCCATCCAGAAAGTTGTCGGGAAATAATGCCTCAAATCAGCAGATTGCAGAAATCCACACAACATGGAGTCAAGCTGAGAGGGCTTTACTTAAAAAGGAAATGGTATTGTATATAATTATATTATTCCAATTATTGAATGCATGTGGGATTACATCATTTTTAAAACATAAATTCAAAGGCGACTATATTTCCAGTCTCTAATAAATATAAAAATATATAAATTGCATTGTAGCATATGAGTATCCACAACACAATATGGATCATAAGAGTCCAGTGGGTGTCTTAAGAGGCAATACGGGGAAATGGTACAGTAAAGGGATGCTGCTGCATCTTCCTGATAACAACTCAAAATAATAAAAAAAACCTGTGGTAGCCAATTTGCCTGCCAAGTGTTGCAACTATGGCAGATATCTCCTATGAGGTAATATATGAGGAAAGCCTAAGTTCAGCAGTTGACTTTTAATAGCCTCTAATAAGTTAATGAATAAATGAAAAGCACTAATGAAATGATATCTGTTTCAATTATAATGTTGTATATTTATATGACTTAAATAATGTGCACCGATCTTAATATACGTAGTAATTTTTATTTATTTATTGTTGTCTACCTTCTAGGAAAAATATGGACGAAATATTCAAAAAATTTCACAAACCCTAAAAACAAAAACAGAAACAGAAATTCAGGCTTTGATTGAGGCTGAATATGGAGTCAACTTAGATACACCAGTACTTGGTCTTCCTAAACATGAGGAATATGATAACATTCCAGCAGTTGTTCAGGAAGAAGTTGTTATGGATAATGTAATGAATATAAGGGATACTTTAAATATGGTAACAACTGCTCACCCTACAATACCTGTTGCAAGGAAAGCTTTTAAGAACAAAAATTTTAATGTTAAATCTAAAAAAAGTTTATTGAAACCAAATATCTTAAACATTAAAAATCCAGATCTCATTGCAATAAACCCATCTGAAATATTCTATGAAGATGAACTTATTATTGGTTCTACTGAGTCCATTGGATCTGAAACCGATTTAACTGATGCAGTGTCAACAAATTTGCTAAAGCAACATAAAGAAAGGATTAAAAGTGAAAGAAAAATTGGTAACAATAGAAGAAAAGTGCCCAGAAAATATGATAAAAGTAATGCTAGGAGTAAAAATAAGGAATTAATGAAATCACCTCAAGGAAGACAAAGAATTGATTCAGGATTATCTGAGGATAGTGGAAAAAGTCCTAAATTGCAGATTGTTTTAGGGTCAGGACAAGCTTTACCTGTGTCAGAAGGAGAACAAGTTGTAAGTAAGATGCATACAATTTTTTACATATGTATATTTAAACCCCACTTATCAATTTTTATTTTATTACATTAACAAAAGTTGTGTACTAGACAATCTTGCGTAATTCTTAACTTTAATGTTCATATTAAACACAATTTGTTTTATCCCACAATATTTTAAATTTCTTATAGCTCAACATATTTGTGGTGGATATCTTTAAGCGATATAGTTTAAAAAAATAATATATGCTATATTTGTTAAATAATGATCCATTAATATTACTAGCATAATATTTTAAACACCAATAAAATTTTATATTCATAAACATTTCCTTATAAATGAAGGGACATATGGGTCTACCTGATGGTTAGTGGCTATTGCAGCGAATTAACTTCTGTAACTAACTTCAAATAAAGAATTTGCAATACATTGTCACTTCTAAGATGCCTCATCCTATAATTATATTGGTTCTCTACACTCTCCAGACCGACATAGCAGTGCACATACTGCTGTCTGGCAGCAGTAATAGATAAGAAGGTAGTGCCTTCCAAGATGAACTAAGTAGAATAGGAGTCCCACCATCTAGTAAACTACTTTTAAGTCTTTTTGAAGTGAAAACATCTTTAGAATCGAAAAAAGCGACACTAAAAAGAGACAAACATATACATCTGAAAGATTTAGCCTATGAGAGAATGAGATAGAATACAGTATGCAGTGTTTATTATCAATTTATTTATATTTAATAACATAAACCCTACAATTATCATGAAACTCTGCATTCGTTTCATTCTTTCAAAGTCAAGTTTTCTGAAAGTTTAAAGCCCTTCTCCCATTACGATACGCACAGGCGATTCAAGTATCCTGCAAGTCTTGGCGACTATTCGCCGCCAAGTATCTCACATACATTTGAATGCAGGCTCGCACACTACGCTACTGGTATCCTACGCGTCCGCGACTAGTATCGCGCGACTCGCTGTGTTGGTCGCTTGTGCGTCGCGTCTCCTGTGCGTCTCGACAAAATGGCGGCGGAGCAAGAAATAAATATTAAGTTTGTACAAGAAGTTGAAAAACATGCTTGTTTATATAACTACAAATTACCAGAATACATGCGGAAAAATACAATAGATAGGACTTGGGCAGAAATTGGGAATAAATTTCAAATAACAGGTTTGTTTTGTTTATACATAATAAGTAGTTTATTAATCAATGTTACATTGTATTTTGTAAACAGTATTGGTATTGCCAAGGCAATGAACCTTGCTCAGATATAAAGTAGTTTGCTAAATAATTTCGTTGGTTGTGTGGTGACATAGTTGCAGTTATTTCTATATTTTGAGGTTGTATAGTCATAGTAACGGGAATAGTGACCGATCTGTTTTGTATTACCTCCCTTGGACTATATAGAATACCCTCATGTTGTCGAACAAAGTTGTGTAAAATACACACTGCTTTTATTATATTTGATACTTTTTCTATTGTATGACATCTTATAGCTGTACTTAATACTTGAAATTTCTCAGTCATCATTCCAAAAGCACATTCAATTGTATTCCTCCCTCGGCTTATTCTGTAGTTAAACACCCTTCTCAAGTCATTTAAGGTTCTTTGGGGATATGGTCTCATGAAGTAAGATAGAAGGGGAAATGCCTCATCCCCAATAAAATAGTATGGAAATTCATAGTTAGATGGGTCATTAGGAAGTTTGGAAGGTAAAGGAATATTAAGACGTCCATGTTCAATCCAACGTTTGATCCTGGAAGCACTGAAGATTCCACCGTCGCTGTTCCTACCAGCATAGCCAGTTTCGATAACAGTAAATAATCCATCGGCATTACAACATGCCATTAATACTATCGAATGGTAGGATTTGTAATTAAAATTACTTGATCCCGAATTAGGTAATTTTTCTATTCTGATGTGTTTACCATCACATGCCCCTAAGCAGTTGGGTAAATTCCAGAGGCGATCAAAACGAGCAGCAATGTCTTTCCAATGTTGCACATTTGGTAATAGCATATAGTCTCTATTTAATATCTCCCATATTATAACTGTAGTTTCAGCTATGACCTTGCAAATTGTATTATCTCCTCTTGCAAAATACAATCCTAGGCTTACAAATGAACAACCTGATCCCAAATATCTGTAATTAATAACAATTAATATTAAGGTTATTTTCAGGATCAGAAGCTAAAGAAAAGTGGAAAAATCTACGTAGTGTTTTTGTTCGCCATTTGAAACCGCCTAAAAGTGGAGCAGGGACTGCGCAAAAAAAACCATACTACTTAGCTGATTTTATGCAATTTACTATACCGTTCATAAAAACAGCAGGAAAACCATCAGGAAATTTGAACGAGACAATAGAAGATAATGACACATTGCAACCACAGTCTCCTGAACTATGCGAACAAACACAGTTCACAGAAAGTGTACCTACAAGCACTCAATCGATCTCGCAACAGCATTCATCTCTTCCTCCAACAAGCACTCAATCAATCTTGCGACACCAATTACCACCAGCAACAAGCAATAAAAGAAAACGGAAGAAGCTTGAAGAAACTCAAGCTGAGCAAGATATTGCAGCTTATTTTAAATTGAAACGATCTAAAATTATAGAAAACTGTGACAGTACTGAAAATTCAAACAAAATGTTTTTACTGAGTTTACTGTCGGACGTGAATAAATTGAATGATAATCAAAGAAGACTGTTTAAGAGGAGAGTGCTTGAATTGATAGACGATATTATGGACCAAAGTAGTCCCATCACACTTTTATCTACTCCTTCACCGACTGACAGGGCAATAAGTACGCCAAATACCATAAATGAAAGTGTACAATCAAATACTGCCACACTATATTATGAATCAATACCTATGTTTTTATCACAGGAAGATGAAGAATAAGTAATAATTTTTATAATTGATTGAAATAGCCTATGTTTTAATTTGATGATTGATTGATTCATACTAAAAATTTAATATACATTTTTAATTACATATGTAACAATGGAGTATTATTTACCTTAGGGTTATCAGAATCCTTTCTTCCGCACTAACACACTCTCTAAATATAGTATTTCGTTGATGTATAGCAGGCTTTATTAATGTAACAAGATGCAGGTAGGTCTCTTTAGACATTCGGTAGAAAGACAAAAATTTATTATCATCATGTTGTAGTTCTTGTGCGGCTACAAAAACTCTACAATTTATGTTTCTTTCAATATATGGATGAATCCAGTATTTTCTACTCTTGCGTTGACGTCTTCTGTTTCTATAAAACAGAAAAGCTGCAAGTGCTTCTTCGTCACTAGAATCGCTCGACATAACGTCCGTCCACAAAAACGAGTTTGCACAAATGATAAATTTAGTCATTTTTCAGTAGCATAATATGCGAGCGTCGGGTAGCGAACAAGTATCCAACTAGTATTCTACTCGAGTATCGTACCTTACAAGTATCGTAATGGGAGAAGGGCCTCACTTCTATTGTGTGTGAACTGCACACTTGTTTTTTTAAATGTCTTTCAATTAACGAATATTATGAATTACTGTTAATATATTGCATGCTTTAATATTTGAAATTTATTGGATGTTTTGATAATAAAAATGTAATCGTAATTTTGAGTTAGCTTTTTATTTTTCCTCAGATAAAAATTGAAAAGAAGAAAGACTCTGAGCCAGAAAGTGACATAGAAATTGACATTGACAGTGATAAAGAAGAAAATAGAAAAAGGAAACCACCAGAAGAACCTACTGACACTACTTCAGTTAAGGAAGAAGTTCCAATAGCTATACCTCTAAGAAAATTTGAACCAATGCCAAAGAGGCGAAAGAAGATTAATTTGGTTAGTGAATCAATGTTTACACAACAACACAACACAAACACTCACGCCTGTCACCCAGAGGGGTAGGCAGAGACTACGGACTTCCATTTGGCGCGATCCTGACACACCTCTCTCGCCATCTTTACATCTATATATCTACGCATACACGCTCGTCGGTTAGGGGTACTCCTAATCTGGCCCATTTTTAATGTATCGCCGATTTGGTCGATAAACATTCGTCTGGGGCGTCCCTTCCCGACCCTGCCATTCACTTCTGCAACATAAATTTGCTTTGTCACTCTTTCCTCATTCATTCTTTCTACATGATCAAACCACCGAAGCATTCCTTTCTTAATCCTTGTCACAACGTCATCTTGCAAACCACACTTTTCTCTTATCACACTATTTCTCACCCTGTCAATCAGATTCAGCCCTAGCTTACTCCTTAAGGACTGCATTTCTACAGCATTTATTCTACTCTTCTTGGCCAAAAACTTCTCCGCAATCATGCACATGGAAAAGACTTGATCCGTACACCCCATTGCCTTTCTAAATCCAGCTTGCACATCCCAAATTTTTCCATCAATTTCTTCGATAACTCTTTCCTTTAATGCCAACTTATGCAATGATAATTCAACTTAACTTGGAATTGCTCTACGCTTTAATTAACACCTTAGCATACAGTTTACCCACAATGCTAAGCAAGCTGATACCACGGTAGTTTTTGCAGACCTGCTGCGAGCCCTTTCCCTTATATATTGGGACTATCATGGCTTTGCACCAGTCTTCCGGTACCTGCTTCAGTTACCCAACATAAATTAAACAAAGTGCACAGCAGGCCTGCAACCACACCCTCTCCAGCCCTTAGCATTTCGAGTGATATTTTATCATATCCGGCTGCCTTACCTGCTTTCATGCTTTTCATTGCTTTCATTATTTCATCTACACTTATCTCCATACCTCTCACCACTTCTTCCGGAATTTCTATTTCACTTACTTCAGACGACTCTTCACTCTTAAACATGCTTTCAAAGTATTCCTTCCATCTCTTTAAATTCGAAACTTCATCATTCAGCATGCAGCCATTCTAGGCTGTTTTGAATTTCCCCTGGCAGTTCTTACGAGTTTCCAGAACATTTTAATATTTGCCTGGAAGTTATCAGATATCCTTCTATCATTCCTATCCATCCTTTCTTGCTTTTTCATTTCAACTACTTCTTTTACTCATATTTATACGTCTGAAGTCTGCCTTTTTTCTTTCAATGTGATCATTCATACCGCTAGAATTACCAGCTTTGGTTGCTAGTAAATCTAGCCATGCTCTCTTTGCTTCAACTTCCATCCGTACCTCATCATCCCACCACAACATATTACTTTTCCTTTCATTTGTTCTCTTACTTACACCACATACTTCGGTGGCTGCATCCACCAAAACTTTCTTAACATTATTCCATGCAGTCTTCAAGTCTAAATCACTACATAATTCATTCAAACCACTTATATTTTCCCTCAGTCTACATTTATACTTCTCTTTTACATCTTCATCTTAAAGCCTCTCTATTCTTATACGCTCTAATGCAGTGGTAGACACAGATGTCCGATGCCGCCAACGCCTGAATAGACTATTAATTCGTCATAAGACCAAGTAATGATCTGTCCCTACATTGGACCCCCGGTAAACCCCGGTGTATCTACCACTGCGCTCCTCATTCTTTCATCCACAATTATGAAATCTATCATGGTTCTATCATCCCCTTTTTCCCATGTATACATGTGAATCCTCTTATGGCGAAAGAAAGTATTCGTCACAAAAAGATTCTTTTCCACACATATGGTGAGGAGGTCTTCACCATTCTCATTTATACTTTCATCGCCAAACGTTCCTAATATCCTTTCATAACCAGACCTCACCCCAACCCTTCCACTAAAATCTCCTAACATAATAATATTTTCATTTTCCTTACATTTTATCAACACCAGCCTTATCATGATCCCAAAAATGTCCCAAAACTGCTCTCGGATATAAGTGGGCTTAGGCATATCTGGGGCGTACACCCCTAGCACAAACAACTTCTTTAAGCCCACTACTTTCATTCGTATCCATAGCAGCCTTGGGCTTACACATTCATACTCTTTCACACATTGACCCATTCTTTCTGAAAGGATGACACCGACTCCCTGGCATGCCCGCTCCGTCTCGTCTACACCAGACCAGTAAGTGGTATACATGCCATGTGCAGTGACATCTCTTCCCTTTCGTTTCGTCTCGTTTACACATAACACATCTATTCCTCTATCATTCATCATTTCACATACTTCATCCAACTTATCATTCATTGCTCCACATACATTCAGCGTAGCCAGACAGGCCTCCGCAATCCACTTTTCGCCCCTCCGGGAGACAGGACGTGACGGGTGGCGAACCTCTTTGCCGGTTTTTCTCCCGGAGATTCTTCGCACTCCTGCCCCATTAAAGGGGCGCCGGGATTTCGGGGCCATTTCTTTTATTTCTTGGCTCATGGTGCGAACTAAGGGGTGGTAGATTTTACGCCGCTACCATACGGCGAGGAGCCGAGTCTATCCTATCGGCTATGTGGGCTCTGTCGCTCGTTTAGCACCACCCGGGGGACACGTGTAGTGTGGGCCTAGGATTAGGTGGTCGAAGCCTACGGACGCGAGCGACTCATCCCCAGTCAATCATCAATGTTTATTTTATATATTTTGAATCAATGTTTATTTTATATAGTTTAATTTTTTTTTCCATTTCCATTGTATTATTATAATACACAACTAAGTGGCCGACAGTAATTACATGTGTGAAGCCGAAGCTTGGGCTCCTGAATGATGATAATAAAAGTATTGTGTCATTGTAATATTTTGTGTGAACCAACCATGTAGTGCCGATGTAGGAATATTCACTACCTCATTGTCCCATGGGTGTCGTGAGAAGCAATAGAGGGAAACATACCGAGAGATTTGCAGCAGCATCTTCCTAATAACAACTAAAAATAAAAACTTTGGTTGCAAACCCATCTGCCAAACGTGGCAACTGTGGCAAATAATAATAGTAATGTCCTCCAGACTCAACAGAGACTAGCTATCTGTACAGAACATGATTATAGTGCTCAAGTGTATGTGCACTCTCATAGGCCAACAGGACAGTAATCCGACATGACCGGAGAGAGATCAGGCGCAGGACCTACTATGGCTTTATGTGCTTTCCGAGGCATGGGATTGAAAACACTGCCAACTTATTGACTCCGGTTTGCTACTGAGAATTTTTTGACAGAAAGATCCAATAAACTGATTTTGACCCGAGCCGGGATCCGAACCCGATCAGCAACCGCGATTACGACAACCAGACGAAGGAGTATAATCAAATATCCCGCCTATGAAGCAATCTATGGGGGACGCTTACGTTCAGCAATGGACTCTTGATAGGCTGTTACAGTTAATTTTAGTCCAGTCAAGCGTGTAAACCACTATCACTATAATGTTAAAGACAAATTCATTAATATTTTTAGGATGGAGGTGGTGGTTGTACAATTATGCACACAGCAGCTGGTGACCTGTATGAATTAGCGGCAGAGCCGCGCCGCGAGAGACTTCCCAAGAAGGCGCCAATACAGTTAATTCGTTGCCATGTTTATAATACTGACAAACCAGTGAGTAATGAATTCATCCATCCAATACAGTATGAATTAATTAGAGTCTAGAATCTGCATTTTGCATATATTTTTACATCTAAAACATCATCATAATTCTATCCTGTTAAGTACAAAAGTTCTTCAATAGGAATAGGATAGAATGATTTTTTATTCAATATAAATTATTATAGGTAAATCTTACTGAAAGTCAATTTTTTAGCATCAAACACATTTGATATAGTGTTGTAGCCCACACGTCATAATTATATATATATACTAGTTAAGTTTAGAATGGGTAGTAGTCTAATTAAACTCCCAGACATAACAACACATAATTGGATCATAGTGAGACCTTTATTTTCTGGGACTTTGTTGTAAAAGTGTATGCATTGCCCCATGAATTAATTGCCCAGTGAAATAATGACATGGTTGCCTAACATGCTATATGCCATGAGAATGCCTTTATTCAGCAAAATTTCGTTTGTAATGTGAAAATCTAACATATCTTTTAATATTTCAGCCACCATGCGAAGTTTCTCTTAATGTATCGGCACTTATTGCGATGGACACTCATGGTCACACTTCACGCGGTGAGGTTATGGGTTTGGTGGGTGGCGTCGTCTCGCACTATGAGACCCCTGGCCTAGGCTTGCATTTGCTTATTGCTTCCTACTGCCGTGCAGCCGCCGCCAATGCTCGCACGCATTGTGATATGGATCCAGGTAAATAAAATAAAAATTTTGTATTCTCTTTGTCTAATTGAGTAAAAACAGAATCATATTTTCTAATAATAGCTTCAGAGGTTAATGCTTCGATTGTATTTAAAATAAGAGCCCCGTCTTCAGAACTTATTAAGTTATATTTTTTTCTTGTTAGTTTTTTGAAGTTGATGGTTTACTTTTTATCAAAAGCTTAATTTTATTACCCCTTTGAGTGGATTGGAATATCACAAGCTTTTTTTTTATAGGATAGGATGACAAACGAGCACACAGTCCACTTGATAGTAAGTGGTTGCTGTGGCCCATAGACATCTACATCTATCCTCGTTTGCGAATCAAAATGCAGATGCGTTGTCACTCGTGAGTGCCAAGATGGAATGCCTCTTTTCCAGTGAAAAGGGTCTCCGGTTCTCTACACTCACCATACGAATCACAGCAGTGTTAAGCTGCTATTTAACGCTGGTATTCTGTGAGAGCGTGGTCCTTTCCCGGTCAAGACGACCCATTCGTGCTACAACTATACTACAGCATGGCTCTACCATGTAAAAAAAAAAGCTACAGTAAAAACTTCTACTCCTATTATTCCACTCATAGTGTCGAGATTTTCTTTACATTTAAATGGTACCACCCTAGAAGCCTATTTAATTAAAATAGAATCAATAAAAATCACACAATTGAAAAAATTCACAATTGTCGGAAATATCGTCTAACATACATACAAGATAAAACAAGTGTGCAGTTTACATGTGGTAGAAGTGAAACTTTCAAACGAATTGAAATATAAAATAAAAATATTTCACGTCAAATGATTTATTTAAAATCCTTATTTTACGACAACATGTAGATCCTTAATTGTGGTATAATAAATCAAAACCATATTTCTTTCGAACAAAATTGCTTTGCAATAGCGCCATCTACTTCGTTATAATAGGTAAAGTAATTTTATCATATAAAATTTTTCATATTAGTTTATGATTAAAAATTGATTTACTCTCAAGGTGCTATCAACAATAATTTATATTTATATTGAATTCGGTTGTACAAAATTTTTATTTTTACCACATGTAGGTGAAAGTTTTTGCCCACTGCTTATTGAAACTAGCAACTGCATCAGTGAATAACAACTTTCTAATTAGCACTTCGGTACTGGCGACGAAAACAACAAAGCGAGAGCGACGCGACGCGATGCGATATGATGGGAGACATCATGGAACAGTTAATCTGCACACCATAAAAATTTAATATTATATACAAACCACATAAAAAATTGAAGTGACTGTCTCTAATATCCTAATAACTATCTTTTATTAAACTGCGGGGTTTCTTTGCATTGCATTAAGACATGATTATTCATGTTTGTCTGTTTGTAATCTTCAGAATAGTAGAAGAGACGAATGGGTCGGTTCGACCGGGGAAGGACCACGGTCTCACAGAATATCAGCGTTAAATAGAAGCTTAATGCAGCAGCGTATGGTGAGTGTAGAGAACCGGAGACCCTTTTACTGCAAAAGAGGCATTCTATCTTAGACAAAATAGACACTAAGTGGCTTAAACACGACTAATTTAATATAATATTCTATCTCATTCTCTGTCTCCTATTACTGTATATGTTTGTCTCTTTTTAGTGTCGCTTTTTCATTTCATCTAGTTTCAAATCACAACGATTCTAAAGAAGTTTTCACTTCAAAAACATAGTTAAATTGAGATGTAACACTAATGTATACAATGTCCATGTCGTTTGTGGTGAGAAATAAATAAATAATTATTATTTTATTACAATAGTCGAATTGAGTACCGCCTCCTTTTTTAAAGTTGGCTAAAATCAAGAAACCTTATATATCAAAGAAAAGCTGACTGTCCTACCACAATGTTGTGTGGAACTGTCTTTATTAGAGCTTTAAAGATATTAACATTTTTTTTTTCAACTTATGAAAGTTAATTACTGGACATGGTTCATTGCCGTTGAAGGGATGATTTGTGACAATTAGTGTCACGCTTGGCGGGCAGATTGACGATTGCAGTACAAAAACTAGTCGCCTCTTACCGACACCCATAAGATGAAATGCGGTGAATATTCTTAGGTCGTTTCCACACATCACAAATCTTATCTATAGTCTATAAACTTACTCAATTAAGATTACAGATTGAAAATTATAATTTTTACATGTACAATGTTTGTCGGCAGTGTCTCAAGCGCGAGCAGCAGAAATTCTCCGGGCGCAACGATTAGTAGTTTGCGGCTGGCATCATTCGCATCCGTCTTTCCCGGGTGCGCCTTCAGCAGTCGACCTGCGCACACAACTTGCCTTGCAAGCCGCCCTCGAACGAGACGTGCCATTTCTCGCCTTGATCACCTCACAACATTGGCCGCCTGGACGTGACGCCTCGCACTACCGGTGCGTCCATCTAGGTGCCGCACGTGACCCACTGAGCACTACCGGTGCGTTCGCCTAGGTGCCGCACGTGAGCGACTGAGTACTACCGGTGCGTCCGTTAGGTGACGCACGTAAGCTACTGAGCATTACCGGTGCGTCCGTTAGGTGACGCACGTGAGCTACCGAGCACTACCGGTGCGTCCATCTAGGTGCCACACGTGAGCTACTGAGCACTACCGGTGCGTCCGTCTAGGTGCCGCACGTGAGCTACCGAGCACTACCGGTGCGTCCATCTAGGTGCCGCACGTGAGCTACTGAGCACTACCGGTGCGTCCGTCTAGGTGCCGCACGTGAGCTACCGAGCACTACCGGTGCGTCCATCTAGGTGCCGCACGTGAGCTACTGAGCACTACCGGTGCGTCCGTCTAGGTGCCGCACTTGACCTACTGAGCACTACCGGTGCGTCCGTCTAGGTGCCGCACGTTAGCTACTGAGTACTACCGATACGTCCGTCTAGGTGCCGCACGTGAGCTACTGAGCACTACCGGTGCGTCCATCTAGGTGCCGCACGTGACCCACTGAGCACTACCGGTGCGTTCGCCTAGGTGCCGCACGTGAGCTACTGAGCACTACCGATACGTCCGTCTAGGTGCCGCACGTGAGCTACTGAGCACTACAGGTGCGTCCGTCTAGGTGCCGCACGTGACCCACTGAGCACTACAGGTGCGTCCGTCTAGGTGCCGCACGTGAGCTACTGAGCACTAATGGTACGTCCGTCTAGGTGCCGCACGTGAGCGACTGAGCACTACCGGTGCGTCCATCTAAGTACCGAACGTGACCTACTGAGCATTACCGGTGCGTCCGCCTAGGTGACGCACGTGAGCTACTGAGCACTACCGGTGCGTCCGTTAGGTGACGCACGTAAGCTACTGAGCATTACCGGTGCGTCCGCGTAGGTGACGCATGTGAGCTACTGAGCACTACCGGTGCGTCCGTTAGGTGACGCACGTGAGCTACTGAGCACTACCGGTGCGACCGCCTTGGTGCCGCACGTGAGCTACCGAGCACTACCAGTGCGTCCATCTAGGTGCCGCACGTGACCTACTGAGCACTACCGGTGCGTCCGTCTAGGTGCCGCACGTGAGCTACCGAGCACTACCGGTGCGTCCATCTAGGTGCCGCACGTGAGCTACTGAGCACTACCGGTGCGTCCGTCTAGGTGCCGCACTTGACCTACTGAGCACTACCGGTACGTCCGTCTAGGTACCGAACGTGACCTACTGAGCATTAGCGGTGCGTCCGCCTAGGTGACGCACGTGAGCTACTGAGCACTACCGGTGCGTCCGTTAGGTGACGCACGTGAGCTACGGAGCACTACCGGTGCGACCGTCTTGGTGCCGCACGTGAGCTACCGAGCACTACCGGTGCGTCCATCTAGGTACTGAACGTGACCTACTGAGCACTACCGGTGCGTCCGTTAGGTGATGCACGTGAGCTACTAAGCACTACCGGTGCGATCGTCTTGGTGCCGCACGTGAGCTACTGAGCACTATCGGTGCGTCCATCTAGGTACCGAACGTGATCTACTGAGCACTACCGGTGCGTCCGCCTAGGTGACGCACGTGAGCTACTGAGCACTACCGGTGCCTCCGTCTAGGTGACGTACGTGAGCTACTGAGCACTACCAGTGAGTCCAACTAGGAGATGCCGCATGTGAGCTACTGAGTACTACCGGTGTGTTCATCTAGGTGCTGCACGTGAGCTATTGAGCTAATGAGCACTACCGGTGCGTTCATTTCGGTGCTGCACGTGAGCCACTGAGCTACAGAGCACTACCGGTGCGTCCATCTAAGTACCGAACGTGACCTACTGAGCATTACCGGTGCGTCCGCCTAGGTGACGCACGTGAGCTACTGAGCACTACCGGTGCGTCCGTTAGGTGACGCACGTAAGCTACTGAGCATTACCGGTGCGTCCGCGTAGGTGACGCATGTGAGCTACTGAGCACTACCGGTGCGTCCGTTAGGTGACGCACGTGAGCTACTGAGCACTACCGGTGCGACCGCCTTGGTGCCGCACGTGAGCTACCGAGCACTACCAGTGCGTCCATCTAGGTGCCGCACGTGACCTACTGAGCACTACCGGTGCGTCCGTCTAGGTGCCGCACGTGAGCTACCGAGCACTACCGGTGCGTCCATCTAGGTGCCGCACGTGAGCTACTGAGCACTACCGGTGCGTCCGTCTAGGTGCCGCACTTGACCTACTGAGCACTACCGGTACGTCCGTCTAGGTACCGAACGTGACCTACTGAGCATTAGCGGTGCGTCCGCCTAGGTGACGCACGTGAGCTACTGAGCACTACCGGTGCGTCCGTTAGGTGACGCACGTGAGCTACGGAGCACTACCGGTGCGACCGTCTTGGTGCCGCACGTGAGCTACCGAGCACTACCGGTGCGTCCATCTAGGTACTGAACGTGACCTACTGAGCACTACCGGTGCGTCCGTTAGGTGATGCACGTGAGCTACTAAGCACTACCGGTGCGATCGTCTTGGTGCCGCACGTGAGCTACTGAGCACTATCGGTGCGTCCATCTAGGTACCGAACGTGATCTACTGAGCACTACCGGTGCGTCCGCCTAGGTGACGCACGTGAGCTACTGAGCACTACCGGTGCCTCCGTCTAGGTGACGTACGTGAGCTACTGAGCACTACCAGTGAGTCCAACTAGGAGATGCCGCATGTGAGCTACTGAGTACTACCGGTGTGTTCATCTAGGTGCTGCACGTGAGCTATTGAGCTAATGAGCACTACCGGTGCGTTCATTTCGGTGCTGCACGTGAGCCACTGAGCTACAGAGCACTACCGGCGCTTCCGTCTAGGTGCCACATGTAAGCTACTGAGCACTACCGGTGAGTCCAACTAGGAGTGTCGCACGTGACCTACTGAGTACTAGGCGCGTAACAGGCTAAGTGATACAAACTAGCGCTCGGACGTAAGGTGCATTTTGATTTTATTACGCGCGCCGCTACAATAGGTAGGCTATTTTAACGAAGGTCGCATCCAAGACATGCAAAGTATTATGAATAATAGAGACGTTGTAACTAGGTACTTAGGAACTTCTGTACTTGTACTATTATCTATTCTGTGGTAACATCATATCTTATATTGGTTAGAAAAACAGTGTATTAAATTTAAATAATTTATTTCTTGCAGATGCATTCATGTAGAAGAAGATGCAAGTTATAGTGATGGAGATACTCCAGTTGGTTACCAGTTAAGTGTGAAATTAGTGCCGGATTTGACCGTGGAAAACCTGAGGCCTTTTTTGCTAGAACTGCGTGGTATTTTGCTCAATGATGCAGATAGAAACGAACTGAGTGTTGATTTGCCCAAAGATGTATGCCCGCAGGCTGGAATCACTTACTTAGAAAAGGTATGTTATTTAATGTATGATAAAGGCTCTATTTTACAACAAATTACTAAAATTCTTGGCTATTTTCTTCCTACGTAGAAGTGTGTGTGTGCGTGTGCGTGTCTCAACTCCCCCTCACTCTCCCCCCACTCTCTTTCGGACGTTCTAAACGAGTATCCAGCTCCAAAATGATGGTTCTATAAGATGCCTGAAATTTAAAGAAATAAATATTTTAACTTAAGGCATCCCAACATTTATTACAATGTAAAACCTGAATAGATTTGACAAGAATAAAGAAATGCATACTTCAAATAGAGGAAAAAATAAGCAAAGCTAAGGGGCAATGTATACGCTTTTCCAACAAATTATATTAATACGTAGAGAGAAAACTTTGTACCGCTTTTCAAGCATATTGCGCACACAGAGAAGTGCGAGATTTGGTTTGGTTCAATTTTATATGGAGGAGGAATGCAGAAAGCAAACATATATATATAATATGTGTTACAAATACATTAAATGTTGTTCAAAATGTTCATCTTCATTTTCAATGCAAACACGCGCACGTTTAATTAAAACTGTTTTTCAGCGACAATAAAACGTCTTTTCACTTTATCAAAAGTGTCTACTATACGCTGTTTTAGGTCCTGCATATTGGTAGGTTCACTCACATACACTAGTCTTTTTATTTCGCTCCACAAAAAGAAGTCCATTGGCGTCAGGTCGGGCAGGCGCGGGAGCCAGGCAACTTGGTTACTGCGACCAATCCATCGGGTGCCAAACTCCTCAGTCAAGTACTCTCGGATATCGTGGTCGACGTGGTCGAGTGACTCGGTTTAGGTACAATTCGCGATACATCCTCAAGGCACACATGTGCGTGTATTCTCTTTTAGTGAACTGATAAGCCACTGTGAAAACTAGAACACAAAATGCAAACATTAATTTGAAAACAGACGCGATGTGGCACATTGTAGTGCAAATTACAAACCAAACTAAAAATAGCCCTAAAAATAATACTACTAACGTGTATACTTTTTATTTTACATTTTCAAATAGGCGTAATTAATATCTATAACTATGCCAAATTACAGACTTGTAGCACCTAGGGTCTCTGAGTAAAGCCGCGGACGGACGGACATGGCGAAACTATATGTTGTGTAACTACGGAACCCTAAAAATTGATTAACAATAAATATTAAGTATAAATAATATTGAATTCTATTCTATTTTATGTAATTTATTTTCCAGCTAATATCAAGCGTGTCCCACCACACGCGCTCAGCGGGCTACAATGACTGCGATACTGTGAGGATACAATTGCTGCAAGGTATACGAGATGTGTTCAGATAGTAAACTGCATGAAGACACCTGGTCAAATGTTTATCTGTGATGATTATGTTAAGAAAGGCAACACGATTGCAATGATTGTTTATTGCCATGAGATGAAAACTGGCACGAACATCATTATATTTATCAACAGTAGTCTCTAATAGGAAAGTTTTGATAGCTTGAATAAATATATCATTGTTTAATGAACTAAAAATGTCAAGATGTGAGCTACTGAGCTAAGATGTGTAACACATAAGTTTTTTTGCAGTATTTGTAGTACCTAAGATAAGAAATCGATTACATTTCTAATTTGACATAAGTTTTTCACATTAAAATCTCATTATCGTTTTGAACTAAAATATGCATAAATGGAAGCAACATATCGCTCATTTGCGAGAAGCTTGGCATAATTAATGAAAAGAGCAATTTTTGTGTGTCCTAATACAGTAAATAAAAAAACATTGAGTATGTTGAATGTTCTTTTTATTTATCAGTATCGATGCAAAACTAGAACTACTAAAATGCAAGAACTTACGTTATGATTCCAAATTTTCATCAATAGCAATAGATAAAGCATTATTTTAATTTTTTATTATTTATACATAAGTCTGTGTTGACAATAAGTATTTTACTCAGATGAGTTTTAAATGGAACTAAGTCGTTATTGAAAATAATTGTGTTTATTATTTAGCCTTATAATTGTTAATAATAAAAAAGACACAAAATCTTTAGTAGGTACTTATGAATTGAAATAATCAACAAAATCACAAAAAAAAAACCTTATCTTTCAATTAACTTTAAATTCATTTCAATCATTGTTCTTATCTAATCTTTGTATTTGTCTCGGAGATCAGAAACTTCTTACTTCGGAATATAAAAAAAAAAAATGTGGCGACCAAAACTAACGACTCTAGAGTTATAAAAAGGAGCGTAACATCTGGTAATGGCATTTTTCTTGATCAAATTCAACAAACCATCTTTTTTCTTCTTAATTAATCCGGGTTTTCCTCCATACGCTTTTTTCACGTCAATCTCCACAGATTTTTCGTTTTTATCACTTCTGCTTTTCTAAACTCTTTCTCTTTATAAGAAGTATTTAAAATATGGTTTGCGGATTATTCTTGTCTATTTTTACCACATTAAATCTGCAATTTTGATAGTATTTCCGTCTTCATCTCTTGTTATGTTTACACCCATTTAGGAACACACATCTTTCCAATTGAGAAAATCATCATTGTTCATTATATTTACTCTAAAAGGCTCAGGTTTTGGTTGCACTAATGAAGACTAGGAGTGTACGTTGGACCACCTCTAATTTGCTTTTCAACCTGCCGTTCAATGAGAGAATGTGCACAGTCACCCTCTTCTTGGGTGTGGCCATCAATTAAATATTTGTGAGTAATTGTTTTTATGTTAGGGTAATGTTGCACAACAAACATGTATATAGCCAACATCAGTTTATTTTTTGCTGACCCACACAGTTACCCGTATAAAACACTGATCTCTATACAGGGCAATTTTTCAAAGAGTAGTCAAATTTTACATTGAAGTTCAAATTAATAAATTATTATATACCGATATTACATTTTTTGAAAATACGAGTAAATAAGGCTTCTACTTTTATTTGAAATTAACCCATATTGAATGTGATTTATGGGCAACGACTACTCTTACGCGCGCTCCTGTGTGTGATTCAATTCACGTTTTCGTTTCTCATGTTTGTGCCTACTGTTTACTTTCTTAGTGACACGCTTACTACTTATGCTTACGATAATAACTACATGACGCGAATTATGATTCCAATTTTCCTTTTAAACTTTTAACGGACTTAGGATTATCATAATAAATAAAATTAAAAAAAATATTTTTGCTTATCAACGACTGTCCTTATTATAGCGTATCATCGATCACTAAAAAAAAAAACTAGATACACAATCAAGGACAAAAACTTCTAAAAATGGTCGATCTGTCACGAAAGATGGAGCAAAATCATCGCTTGTAAAAATATCAGGGTTATGAGGGCATATTCCAGTATTTTTGAATGAGTTTATAATATTTGTAGGGGTTGCTGCTAAAGGCCATGCTGTTTTAACAATTCCAGGAATTTCGTAGATTGACATCGTTTTGCCTGGGTTGTTACGGAGCCAATTATCTTGGGCTTTAGCACAGTATGCTTTAAAAGGCCCGTTGACGCCAACATCCAGAGGTTGCAGCATGTGGGTGCAGTGAGGGGGAAATGACAACATAATGATGGAGTTGGCTTTAGCTTTTTCTACTACGTTAATGTCAACGTGTGAGGAGTGATTGTCCAATAATGGCAACACCGGTTCTTCTGTGGTGGGTTTAGAAAATTTTATGAAATGATCCATATAAGTCAAGAATTCAGTGGCAGTCATCCATCCTGAACTGTTCCCAGCTCCGACTGATTCAGGGGGCCCATCACGTAAAAACAAGTCTTTATACTTTAACCGTGGAAACACAAACATTGGCGGTATCGTGTTTCCCGCGGCACTAGCTGCTAGCTAAACAGTTACCAAAGTGCCTCGCTCAGCAGACACTATAGCACCGACCTGTTTTGTACCTCTTTGGGCTACTATTTTTCTTGGCTTCAACACAGTCGTTACACCAGTCTCGTCCAAGTTCCAGATTCTTGATGTTGTCAATTTATATTTTAGTAGAATTTCACAGAGCTTAGTGAAAAATTCATTCAAATTATGTCTGTTAAATGCAAATGCACGTCCGGCACTAGTTGCTTCTGCGGTTCTGATCGATAAAACGAGGTTCCTCTTCATAAATCCAGTGAACCAGTCAGCTCCAGTTTTTAGATTCTTGTGCCATGAAGGGGGATTGTTTTAAAAAAATTACTACACATTCATAAGCGAGTTTTCGCACCTCTTCGGACAGAAGATAAAAGTATATTGAGGAACACTAAAATGTAGTTAGCTAACTCTTTTCCTGTTCCGAGGTAAACACTAGCCTGGGTTTATAACCTATGGTAGGAAGGAACCTTGCCAGCCTTCAATTTTGTAACAAATCGATGTAACGTCATGTGGCAAATTTCCAGTTGTCTTACCACAGTTTAACATGTTTTCCCTCCTTGATAACAGCATCAGCAGCTTGACGCAACAATGTCTCGGAGGTTTTTACGTCTCTCTGTCTTACGTTTGTAGTTTCGCATCCTTAAAATAAAATAAAAATGGCCATATGTATTTTAGATACAATTGAAGGTCAATTGAGGTAAGTTGTTCCGGGGAACTACCAGCCCCGTCAGGAAGGAACTTATTGCCCCAAATTACGTTTATATACAAAGACTGACATACTGGCAAACTAATATAATCAATTCAAAAAATACTTAAGCAATAAGATACCTTACTAATGTCACTACAATTTAGGAAAGTTACGCATGAATTGGTCCATAATAAACAGAGATAGACCAAATAGTTTAAACATGAAAAAAATGACTTACGTGATGTTTTGACAGCTACGTGCGCACAGTCACTCAACCACCATCGCCGGAGTAACTAAAATGGCTGCCGGCGCGGCGCATTACCTGGCGCTTTAACGGCGCGTTCACATATATTACATATATCATATATATTGCTATCTCTTTTCCTTACAAAGTTATTGCTATTTGAAAAACTTACCCCGGGAACTTCCAGCCCCGCGCTCCCCTACCAACAATCGACTTAGAATCGCTGAAGGGTCTGTAGCACCGCCCAAATTTCTACGGAATCAAGGCTTTCTTATAGTCTGCTTACGTAAGACAAAGTGGCAGATTGTACTCTTAGGTCTTCTGTACAACTTGCCGAAGAATATATTATCGTCTGCTTACGGGTAAAAATAATAAGTGCAGTTAGTGTCAATTCGAGTAGAAGACTTCAAAGTTTAAGTTTTAATTTGATCTATTTTAAACTTATTAATAAAAAAAAATTAAAGCAAAATTTTGCACTAACTACCCTTCTTTTAAGATTTACTCTTATATAATATTTGGTATCAGTAAAAACTGTATATTTTGATCGAAAGGGGACCGCATTTAATATGTTTTACCCGTACCTAACAAACGTGATATTTCTTCTGAATTCAATGATTTTAAAAGCTCATTTCAGTTTTGTGTAATGGCTTATTGTATTTTACACCAATTACTTGATAGAAAAGATTTTTTTTTTACAAAATTCGCTTAAGTAATGATATTTTTGATACATTGAACTTATTTTGCCTGTAGAATTTTAGTGTCATTATGTCACTTATTAGGTACTAGGTATAAACTGCATACAAAAGTGATCAATGAAATAAAAATAAATTATTTTTGCATAGGTAATTTATGAAATGATAATAAATTTGCTAATAATCTATCAATTTTATTTCATAACATATGATTTTGGCAATAAATCTTCGATCACTAATGAAGAACAATAAAAGTCTATTAAGTCGAATCCTTTTGGGTAGCCGGCTTTTAATTCCATTAAGTATCATAATCTTCTGATGACTCTTAATCAATCGAATGTTCAGGTAAATGATTTGCTTCATTGGTTGCAGTTGATACAGAATAGTACCAACCATTATATTCCTCAGGAGTTATTTTTTTAGTACATAAACTGAGAAGATCTCTCTTTTTAGCTTCACTTATGGGTAAATGGTTCAGGTAAAGGTGTTTTAAGACAATAGTCTGAGGTGTAGTGCTTTCTTTGTGTTTTTAGCTCTAGTACTGAGACGTTGAGAAGGTACCGTATTTTTGAGACATTGATGTATAAAAACTTTTCAGACATGTCATAATTGAAATAAATTTTGGAATTCTCTTCCTGAAGATATCGTATTCTCTTTATTTTCAGTCACTTCACTTGATTTCCAATAATGGATCTTTTGAGCGATTGAAAACTGTTTCATGAGTTAATGTTTTAAATCATAAAATACGTTGTATTTAAATTCTTTACTTTTGCAGGGTTTTAATGAACGAATTACTTTCAACAGTTATTGTTTTTTTTTTTCGATCGTGCTCGTTTGAAAATTGATAAATAATCAGGCATGCAGTAAACCTCAGAATTTTTCTTTGCTGACTCAATACTGCTGTGCATGCTGTCCACCTCCATGTAGCTGGGTCCTGATTCAAGAAACTTGTATGTTCAATTTTTCGTAAGTGAGAAATGTTTTGAACTGCAAATATAAGCAATGCAGCAACATATTGGTTCCGATTTTGTCCTTCACAAGTATCAGAATACAGACAATCTTCGGTTACATGAGAAGGAACGCACGTGAAAAGGTCCACTACCTTATATAGGATACTTTCTGTTTCGGAACTGCCGCGTTTTCCATTAATTTCGGACCAAGCAAAACAATATGCGTCGTTTACCAGCGCTGCTTCGTATATACAATGATATAGCTGTCCCACCAGTCCAGAAGGTATCTGTAACACAGCTTGTCAGTCGAATGTTACACAGCAAACTCTATCTTTCTCTGCTCTTAATGATTTCTTATATTTACGCGAACACTACACATTTAAATAAAACTAATTTTACGGATTTTATCGCGTATATTAACTTATTTTACTTTCCCGACGTTTCAAGCACTTTACAGCACCCATGGTCACGGGGGGGGATTGAGGTGTATGACGTCCCAATGTCATAGTTAACCACGGCTACCTCCAGATTAAAAATTATTAATTTTTGTTCCGATCTACGCAGTATGAACTTACAGTATCATGAAGTCTTGCAGTTGTATGCTTGGGTTGGGATTTAATTTTATTAATTATGGGATCCCAAGCAGATGGTAGCACCCAGCCATCTTCTCTATTGAAATTAGGATGTTTTTTGATTTCAATAGCCTCGCGAATCATCCTTGGAAGGAATCGGTGTTCTTTAGCGAGGATTTGTGGTCTATCAAATCTAATGTAGTGACGGGGGCGATCCTGTACGTGTTCACAGACTGCAGACTTCCCGGAGCGTCTATTCTTCACATCAGCTATGTGTTCTTTAACGCGGGTTTTTATGGATCTTTTAGTTTGTCCTATATAAGAGAGACCACATTCACAATCCAGCTTGTACACTCCTGCATCTTGCAGAGGAATATTACACTTGACTGATGGTAAAAACTGACTAATCTTCTTCGGCGGCTTGAAATATGTTTTAATGGAAGCACGCTTCAAGATGTAGCCAATCTTGTCAGTGACACCTCTGACATATGGCAGTACAGCAGGCACTCGCTCGACTGTGGCCGGCTTCACTCGTTCACTGTGACGTAGGCGCGGGACCCGAAGCTTATTGTCGTGCAAAACTTGCTTGACGTGTTGGAGCTCGGCGGCCAGGTGTTTACTGTCACAGATCCCTCGTGCTCTCTTTTTCTTATCTTCACGCACAATCCCTGACGGGGTAGCCAGAGAGAACAGATCGCCAAGTGTCACGATCCTTACAAACCTCTTTCGCTTCTTTCAGATTCATTATCTTCTTCATGCATGCACGTCTAGGTATCCGAGTACTTTTGACCCTACCCTCTTCGAGCAATTTGCTCACATGGTCTTCGAAAGTTAGTCTCGGTCTACCTCGACACCTTTTAATATTAACTTTCGCGCTATATATTTTCTTCACCATTCGGTCTTCACTCATTCGCTCAACGTGCCCAAACCACCGAAGCACGCCCTTATCAATTTTTGTGATAAGGTCATCTTTCAAACCTGCCATATTGCGAATCTCTTCGTTTCGCTTTCGGTCGGCCATGGTAACGCCGCACATTTTACGAAGAGATCGCATCTCCACTGCATTCAACTTACTTTTATGCTTCTTCTGGCATACCCAGGTTTCGCTGCCATATAACAAAGTCGGTACCAACACTGCGTTATGTATTGCAAGGCGTGCACTCTTCGCTACGCCTTGCCTTTTGACTAACGCAGTCAGGGCACCATTGACTTTGTTCCCGGCAGCGACACGCCTGTCCACATCTAAATCACATCTTCCATCCCGGCTAAAAGCACTCCCCAAGTATACAATTTCATTTACCTGTTCTAGACATTCCTGATTTCCTGATCCTCGTGCTCTCTGAAACAAAGATTTACCCACGGTAGCTAACTGTGAAGGATGGTGGTGAGAATCACCGTTTAAATATCTATCTGTATGGGTCTTTTTTCTATACACAGTGTGGCTCAAGGTGTTATCAGGATTCCGAATTACTAACACATCTAGAAAAGCTAAAGAATTGTTTGCCTCTAACTCCATTGTGAACTGAATTTTAGAATTTAAGGAGTTAAGATGGTCTAAAAATGCAGTTACTTTATCTAAAGGTAGAATTGTGAAAGTGTCGTCTACGTACCGCTTGTAGAATCTTGGCTTTATGGGAGAAGTAAGCAGGGCTTTCTCCTCAAAGTCCTCCATGAATATATCGGCAACAATGGGAGATACAGGTGAGCCCA